GTCAGAATTGCTTATTGAATTAACCTAGCAATTCATTTGAAAATAATTTTTTACATAGGTTATATATCATAGATCATAGATATGTAAAAAATAAAAATGTGTTTTGAAAGATGAATTGATAACAAACGTTTTCGCACACGTGCCATTTCCACTTTCAGCCCACTTAAAGCACGAAATCCAGTATGACGTAATGAAATTGCGCAGATAATTGATATTTTTTATTTTAATTCAACTCACATTGACCGTTCAGTTATGAACGTGTTTAAAGTTCTCGTGTTAAAATAAATAAATATGTGGAAAGGCAATGGTTTAAAGCTTATGAAAATGTCAAAGTCATAATTCAGTTTTTAAAATAACATATTGACTTGCATTCACGCACATGTGACATTATCTCTTTTTGTGCGATTCAAACATAAAAATCTCATTACAGTTGTACATAAGAACCAATCTTAGCCATGCCTTTCTAATAGAAGGAACTAAATTTGAATCAAAAAATAATTCTGTGTAAAGATGATTCCCCATAGATATAATAAATGTCAAAAATGTCAAAAAAATTATCAAAAATTAAATACTCACACGCTTTTAAGCACACATGACCTTTTCCAGTTTTGCTCATTTAATTTACCTTGAAAACCAAGGAGACCCAACGCAATTTCTAAATACAACCTTGACACGTGTACCAGGTCTATAATAGCATTTTCTCATGGAAGGAACCAAGCAAGAATTATAAAAATAATTCTGCGTAGAGCTGATGCTTCACAAATAATATTAATGACAAAAATTAATTCATTTCTTCAAAATTAAATACTGACACGCATTTACGCACACATGACCTTTTCCAGTTTTGCATATTTCATTTACCTTGAAAACCCATGAAACTGGACGCAATTGCCAAATACTTCTTTGATACGCGTGCCAGGTCTATAATTGCATTTTCTCATGGAAGGAATCAAGCAAAAATTATAAAAATAATTCTATGTTAAGGTGATGCTTCACAAATATTATTAATGTCAAAAAATTAATTCATTTCTTCAAAATTAAATACTGACACGCATTCACGCACACATGACCTTTTCCAGTTTTGCTTATTTCATCTACCTTGAAAACCAATGAGACTGGACGCAATTGCCAAATACTTCTTTGATACGCGTGCCAGGTCTATAATTGCATTTTCTCATGGAAGGAATCAAGCAAAAATTATAAAAATAATTCTATGTTAAGGTGATGCTTCACAAATAATATTAATGTCAAAAAATTAATTAAATTCTTCAAAATTAAATACTGACACGCATTTACGCACACATGACCTTTTCCAGTTTTGCTTATTTTATTTACCTTGAAAACCAATGAGACTGAACGCAATTGCCAAATACTTCTTTAATACGCGTGCCAGGTCTATAATTGCATTTTCTCATGGAAGGAATCAAGCAAAAATTATAAAAATTATTCTATGTGAAGATGATGCTTCACAAATAATATTAATGTCAAAACTTTAATTCATTTCTTCAAATCCAAATACTGACACGCTTTTACGCACACGTGACCTTTTCTTCTTTTGCTCATTTTATATATCCTAAAAATCAGTGGGCCTAAATACATTGTCCAATACTTCTTTAATACGTGTCAGGTCTAAAAGTGCAGTTTATCATGAAAGAAATCGAACAATTATCATAAAAATAATTATGTGTAAAGGTGATGTCCTTCAGATTATATAAACATCAAAATTGTAATTCATTTATTGAAAGTTAAATATCCACATGCTTTTGGGCACACATAACCTTTTCCCTTTCGTTCATTTTATCTATCTTTAAATCAGTGAGCCTGAAATCATTGCTAAATACTTTTTGATACGAGTCAGCTGCAGGTCTAAAATTGCATTTCATCATGGAACAAATCGAGCAATCACTATGAAAATAATTCTGTGTAAAGGTGATGTTCCAAAGACAATACATATATATATATGTCAATTTGATAATTCAGTTACTCAAAATGAAATATCCACATGATTTTACGCACACGTGATAATTTCCTGAATGACGCTACTTTTTGGATTCAACCATGCATATAACGTCGTAAAATACACATTTCTACCGAAATTATGCCCAGCCGTTTTCGTAGAAAATGTAACAAATGAAGGCATTTTATCGGAACTGATTGATATTTGGTACTTATAGAATATCGTATTTACTTTAACTTTTTAGCAATTCAGACATTTAAAAAAATATGTTTAATCAATGTTAATTTCGCACGAATATAGGGTACAAAATGAGTGAAAGTCTCACGTGTTTGATTGCATTTTACTCCCATTTATGTGCATTTCTCTAACATTAAAATGAGATAGTTGGAAAGAAGAGATCAGTAGAATTCTATCCGTCTATTTCATTATCAAATGTTTAAATGTTTCCCGTTTCATTGGACCTCATAAAGATGGTAGCCAACCGACCAAAAACAAGTAGTGCGATGACGTCATATATCGCTACACCACTTTGATATAAAGTTTGGTAAACAACAATGGGTTTTTTCAATGTGTCGTCCTACTGAAAGAGGCCCTACAATATTTTGGGGCCAACATTTTTTTCTGGGCCCATCCTTTGGCCACGCGGAAAACCTTTTAGGGCCCTAGAACCAAAATTTGGGCCTAAATTTTGAAGATTTATGGCCCGTTTAGCCTAAAATTGAAATAATAAGGCCCAAAAAGGTCAAGTAAAAAGGTCAAGTAAAGGCCAACTAAAGAGGCCCTACAATATTTTTAGCCCAAAATTTTTTTCTGGGCCCATCCTAGTGTCGCGCGTAAATTTTTTTAAGGGCCCTTAAACCAAAAGTCGGGCAAAAATTTTGAAAATTTATAGCCTGTTTTTGAAAAGGTCAAGTAATGGCCAAAAAGGCCCACTAAAGAGGCCCAGCAATATTTTTGGGCTAACATTTTTTCCGGGCCTAGGGCCCCATGCCCCCCCCCTCCTGGAACCGCCAGAAGGCTATGTTTAACAAAACATAAAGGACGATCCTAAAAAACAGAGGGAAAGGGGCACAAATACATGTATGTCCGCGAAAAAAAAATTGGCCAAATTTTGAAAAATAATACCCAAATTCGAAAAACAATGCACAGTAATGCCAGTTTGTTAATCTTAATTGCCCAATGAATGTGGGAAAGAGCAAGTTTTTCTTCAAGTAAGCAAAAAGGTAGGTCCGAGCCCCCAGAGCCCCCCTGGCTACGGGCCTGTTATTGTTATTATTTTACTATTGTTTTACTATTGTTACTACATTTACATTTTACTATTGTTATTATTGTTATAGTTATTATTGTTATTACATTTACATTTTACTATTGTTATTGTTATTGTTAAAATCGTATCAACTTAAAATCGTCACGCACGTAGAATTCAAGCAAACATTTTCTTGAATAAAATAATGAATACACATAACAATATATCGCTATGTCATTCTTCAAACTAAATAATTTGAGGAAAGCTATTAATGTTAATTGTAACGTATCCTGCTGGGGAAATGGAATGACCATGAAGCAAGATACTGTACGTTATAGAATAATTTACTTCTGTGGTTGAAATAAGTCCTAAACCATTGTATTAATCGGATATCCATATTTTGCCAGTTTAAAAATATAATACGTATGATGTTTGACAAGGTATAACATGTATTATACACTAAGAAATCGACTGCTGTTACTTTATCACTAAGATGTACACTTATTATTGAGTTTAACATATTTCGTGTCAACACAATCAATTCATCACGCACGTTAGTTTTTAGTAAAAACCTTGCTTAATGCCTTATGACACAAAACTTACAAGGGTAAAACGTTTATTTAAAGCTTTAGATTGGTTAAAACATATTTATTCCTAATATATCATGTTATATGAGAAACTCAGGATAGCAGATGAAAAACGCAGATATTTAAAAACGTCACGCACGTTAGCATATTGAAAATTAGCTGAGAAACCTTAAATGCATAAATTCATGAAATATCGACAAACGATTTTTTCGTCATATGCATTTACACAGTTTAAGAGACTTAAATGTATTTTATCGTCTGTATTACAAAAGTTACTGTTGATTTCATCAAAAACGTCACGCACGTTAGATTTTTTACATTTTGCTGTGTTATTTCGTAATTTCCACTTAAACTATCTTTTAAAGGCAATTTTCTGGAACAATGTTCGTTGTTCTTCCCAAAAAATCAAAAATTGATTGAAATATCAACCGTTTTAATTTTTCGGAGAAAGTGACGAACTTTTGAAAAAGACCCATATACAAAAATAGGTCACAGTTAACAAATGACACCTTAAACTTTTGAGATCACAGGAAGTACAGTTAATAAGTACAACTTTAAAATTAAAAATAAATATTAAATAATCAACATGTGTGAATGTGATCAATTGATATCATATGGTCTGAGAACATGCATTAATAATAAGTAAAATATCCTGTACAGAAAAGTTCTTATTATTTACTCCAATAAAAATACTTATTTTTTCTTATTTTTTCAAAAGGTTTTGCCATTTCCGTATAATTTAGATCCTTAAATTTAACTTAATTGAATTGAATTTATACTTTATACTGAGATAATTATACTTAGTACTCTTATTTGGGTTTGTAAACATGATATTTTATTTACAGGTTTCGTAAGGTATTAAGTACTTAATAATCATATGTCAATAGAACTCAAACATATGGTTCTAATACACTTAAATATTTTGATAATATTAAGTGCAATTAAAACACTCTTCCTGTAATATTCTGTCTTCAAATGCTGATGAAAACATCAAATAATCTGAATGTTTTAAATTCAATTGCTAATATTAATCAAATATTTTAAATCATTGTGAATATTTGTTACATACGACAAATATTTTATTAAATGCTAAATGTAAAAGACGAGACATCAAAGCAATATGAAATCTACAATTTATAACTGTTCTATTTTTATCTGCCAATCTTCGAGATCAATCAAGTATTTATAACATAAAATTCCATGAACTTACCTAGCGTGTTTGCAAAGGTGTCAGCAATCCAACTCATAACAGTTTCTCCTGTGCCCATGTCGGGTGCAGGGACATCTATACCTGGCCCTAAAAGTTAAAATGTAAGATGTTTAATTACAACAGTTCTAAACTTTTCAATCCTTTGAGTTGTGGCAACTAAACTTAGGGAGGCAAATTTTAACAAAAACTAGTACAAGTGGAATAAAAAAAAAAAGTAGGTGTTCCACTTACAGAGATTGATTACATGGATTAGATAGGCTATGGGACTTTAAAAACGTCACTGTTCCACTTGTGAGGTGTTCCACTTTCAGAGGTGTTCCAATTAGCATGTTCTACTGTATGTACATAACTATAATGCAACCAATAATGCAAAGCTTACCTATGAATCCTTTCTTTGCAAGTTCAACTGTAAAACGTCTTGTTATTTTCTCTAGCTCATTTTCAGAATAAGCCCTTGGGTCAATCCTAAGCCCAGCTTTGGCACCCCCAAATGGAACATCTACTGTCGCACATTTAAACGTCATCAAAGCAGCCAGTGCCTTGACCTCATCTTCATTTACATCTAAGCTATAACGAATACCTATAAAAAGAAAAATGATTGATTTAACTTATTCACTCCCACAGTTAGGTAAAAAAAACATGTTATAACAGGGATAAGTACAACCAATTTGATAAATCGACTTAAGGGGCACATTAAAATCAAATAGCAAGGAAACTGTTCCATTCTTAGTCTAATATTCTGTATCTTTTATTCCAAGATGCTATCATAATCATACAGGTAAAGATTAACAATATCGCTGGGAAGTATAATAAATGATCAACTGTAAGGCTGGTCATTACCTCCTTTACAAGGTGTTCTGTGTTGACTGTGTTGTGCTCTCCATCCATAAATAATCTCATATTCTCCACTGTCCCTCTTAATTGGAAATGAAATCGCTAGAATATGATTACAAGGCTTTATTAGTTTCAAGATTCCTTGAACTTTCTTGCGCTTTTCTTCAGGAGGTATTCTTGCCTTCATTTCTTCAACAAGCTTGTCCTCAACCAAATTTGCTGCACGATCGAAGAATGCTTCGACCATTTCAAAAAAATCTGGATCGTCATCAGTAGCACTTGTTTCTGTAGCAAGAAATCTGGATTGAGCTCCTTCAACTTTCCACAAACTTTTTGTGATTTTCTGAAGTTGGGGGCCATTTTGGCCTCTAAATATTTTTGTGGCTTTTACCCCACAGTTCGCGAGATTTCGCAACATAATGCTTCTTAATTGAATATCTTCTTTTTAACAAAATAAGATTCCTCTCGTGAGTACACTTTAAAGTGTATTTTTCGCAATTAAGCTCTTATAAATGCAAGTAACTTCGTGTAAATAAGTATTTTCTGTAAACCAACACCAAGCGGAAGAGGGGTGTGGTGTGAATAGCCAATCATAAGGAAGGACATCTATGACGTTACGTAGTTAGCAGCTGTTTTCGGCTCTTCGTAAACAAATAACACAGCGTAAATGTTCAAATCACACCCATTTTCAATATTGGAAATAAATAGGGAAATTAACAAATACCTGTTACTTGCAATTTGTCAGCTATAACCTTTGGAAAAATACTTTAATTATTTTTTCAAATTGTTCGAACCATTATCCTAAATTTAGGCCATACCTACAAACTTCCGGTCTTCTAATCTGGATGATTTTCTTAGATTTCAAACCTATATTATGCCAGTTTATGTTGGTGATAATGTTGTAAGTATGTCATTCTACATTAAAAGTGTATTTTATCTGAATGATCCTGTCTGAATTTTTTTATATTTCAATACTTTGTCTCACTTCTAACATAACGAAAGTTTGATAGCCCAGGTCTTATTCCCGGGGTCTTATTTGTTGTTATTTAGAGGACAGGGAGGCAATGTGGTCAATGTATGTAATTCCCATTTTTCAGAGATGATTTGTCCGCATTTTACGCAATGGATGAAATTGCCATGATCAAAGGCCCAGGAATAAGATTTAAATCCCCACTCACTGTATAATGTAGTGTAATGACCTTCGATAGCAAGTCGCTACTACAGTCTCAGCTGTAGTGGCTAGCCCTTATGGCTCAGGGGTAGAGCTTCTGACTCTAGAGCAGAAGGTTCTGGGATCGATTCCCGTACGGGGGATTGAATTTAGCACACTCTCTTTCGAGTCTAGTATCTGGCTTTGTACACTACAGCTCCCCGACGGATGTGCCCAGGGGTCATTACATTGGTGTCAGAAGTGGGATTGCCCTTGTGAATCAGTTACGACGGGACGTCGTCTTCTAGGGGGGATGGTGTAATGACCTTCGATAGCAAGTCGCTACTACAGTCTAAGCTGTGGTGGCTAGGTACGAAAATTTCCAAGGAACATGCGTGACATGTACGGGATTCGCGTGACAAATCCGAACAAATTGCGTTCGTTTTTTTCCGACGTTCGTATTTTTACCGTATCATAAACATATTTTGAAAAAATTATTACAGAAACATATTTGCGTGACAATTACCAGGTAAAATGCGTATTTGCGTGACATTTTGTGTCACGCAAAAAAAACTGGCGTGACTTCAAATTCTTCAGCAAATGCGTGACAAATACGCAAATTGCGGGACAGTTGACAGGCCTGACTACAGCTCCCCGACGGACGTGCACAAGGGTCGTTACAGTAGGCTCAAAATGCAGGCTCACTCCACCAACATCCAAATTTCTACTCTAAAAGCTCAATGTCACCATATGTCCAATGATTATCTCTAAAATTTTCAGATTATGTACATAAATATCTCATCTCACGAAACAATCTGCTTACCCTTTGCATTCGTTTGACTTCACTTCTTAAAAGAGAGCTTCGTCTTCACTCTTTCAAACTAAAATAAACCTGTGAACTCACCGCGCCAATCAGTGTTCGTCGGCCAAATTTGACCGACGTTCTATATATGGTCATTCCTTCTGACGTCATCGTTGAGCCCGAAATTGACCAATGACATGCGCATATTTAATTAGAACGCATTTGGCGTATGTTCCTTCAAGCCGTCGCTGATTGGTGGAAGAAAGGTCAGCGCGTAGGTCAAAAGTGATTTATTACCCAAACTGTCACCGGTACCCGTGTTGGGGGCGGGGCTACTAAACTGTAATAGGGTCTCTACTAGGCAGAGTGTAGTTTAACTAGACTCTGCACGCAGGGTACAATCTGCTTGTTAGTAGCTGTCAATCTCTAGGGTTTGAGTCCAGGTGGCTTTTAACAAGCAACCCACTGTCACGACAAATCAACATCCAATCGTTATCTTGTTTACTTGAAAGATGTCTCTGCAGTCGACCAATCAAATCACAGCAGTTATTAATTAATATTATTTAATTAAATTACACATTTCATTTAATATTCTCACACAAAGTTTTGTTTTTTAACGGTCGGATTACTTGAATGATCATTTCTTGGACGTTAATTTTGGCGGGAAAATCACAACAATTTTTTTTTTAAATTAAAAAAAAGCTAAAAGATATACTCTGCGAAATATACCGAGACTACTACAATAAGTTCCTAGCATCACCACAGATATATCTAAATACTAGAATTGAGATTGGTAATCGTAATTAAAAAATACAATTCTTAAAATAATGAGACACTAGTCGTGGATATTATAGAGGTCGCTGTAAAAGGACGTCGATTTGTTGTGATTGCAAAAGTGCTTGTTTTTTGTCACATTTCCAATGTTATTCACACAATTATGCTGATTTAAGAATTGGTGAATTACCATAAATACGATTCAATGTCTTAACCTACCCTCAAGAAAAAACCCATGCTTTCCATGGGAATTACCAGTATTCTATGGTAAATACTGGTATTCCATGGAAATAACCATGGAAAACCATGAAATTTTCCATGGTAATTACCAGTTTTTCATGGAGAAGGAACGTGGAATTTTCCATGGTATTTACCATGAAATACTGGTTTTCCATGATTTTTTGTCATGACATATCTTGATCATTGAACTACTCTATAATATCAATCCATTGATTGTTTTAAACTATCTTTAATTATATAAAAAAATGAAAGTTGCTAAAACATTACAAGTTTTTGATAATGTCTAAATATTCATAGAATCATGTTTCATGGTTTGAGTTGAAAAAAGTGCAATGCACTGGGACAAAAATAATGCATGACACTACTCAGTGACGGAGATATGAGCAATTAAGAGTAGAGGCTTAGATTTCCTGAGATACGAGCCTGTATTTTTTCTACCTAATACATATAGTGAGTGGGAGGGGGATGAACTCTTGTTCCCGTGTCTGTGGCCATGATGTACATTGTTCCTCATCCAGTTCCATGTCTACTTTGTCTTGTAATGACCCATGGGCTTTCAACAGAATGACCGGAGGGCGCCCAAGGGGAATGACTAACTAACGGATATAGGGTAACAAGAGATTGCAAGAGAAAATTCTGACTTATTTTTTCAAAATCTCAGTCCATGACTGTGAGCATTCAAATTAGTGCCATGGAACGTATTACGGATTTCTTTGCTAGAAAATAACTTCTGTTAGATTTAAAACATACTTATTGTGAATTATGACCACGGCACAATCTGAATGTTATATGATATGGTATTTGTAACGCTTTAACTACACACACTTTTTACTCTACTTATCATTATATAAATATATATTTGTTCTCTGAACTTATATTCTACTTGGAACTAGTTACCATCTTGTCTTTAAAATCTGGGCCAAAAGTTTCATTTAGGTGCAGGATATTACTTTTATAATTACTAATCTATTATGTAATAAAACATAACATTGAAATAATGTGGGAGCTGGAGAAATTAGGAAGTAAAAGTGACACTCAGCATCAAGCTCCAACGTTTATCCTGGACTATAAAATGATGCCTGGAAAGTCTTTTTTCATTACGTAAAGAAATTAACAATTGGAAGACAACTTCAAATCCCCAGTAAAATTGCTGTAAACATGTAATGGATGTTCTAGTTAAAGGACATGGTGTAAACATACAAACACAATTTGACATTTGGAGCAGGATCAAGGGTGAGTAAATGGAAAACAAGGGGTGTTGAGCAAAATCATGTCTTACCTGTTGATAATGTTAGAGGAAACATGATTCACCAATCACCTTGCTCTACTTACTGGAAGAGCCCTATAATAATGAACCCATTGAAAAAAGGAGGCATTAAAAGAGGGGCTTATTTTCATAGGAGGCTTAATTTCCGAGATAATGAATATGCTTATGTTTTATTTGAATGAGAAGGCCAAATTGTGAGGTCCATGCATGCTACCCAGCCTTTACCACAGTGGGGGGGGGGGGGTCAGTTTTAAAAAATTCTAGGGAGATCAACCCCCCCCCCCAGACCTCCCTCCCATATTTACAGGCCTGTTATAATTATGATAACCTGAGTGCAGTGAACTTCTTTGCATCAGTATTTGTTAAAAGACCCTCATAGATGAGAAATCAATTTTAGATATATGAACAATGATTATTATGTAAAATGGCTGGAACAATGGTTTTGTTTATAGATAAATGAAATAGATGTCATGGCATGATAACAGGAAATACAGTTATTCATAAGTTGATTTTAGATGTCATAGTTAAAGTCATATTGAGTCATATCATTGATTTTTTGCAGTTTTGATATTAAAATGTGAAAGTTACATAAAATGCATAATTTAAACATAAAATTATGTAAAAACATCTTAAAGGGAGTAAAAGGGAAAGTAATGATTGAGAGTTCAATATTTTTTCCAAAAATACAATTTTACAATATTTTGCTCTCATCATTGTTCATTATTATGCTTATTTCTAAAATGCCAGACAGTTCTGAGTTAATTTCCGGATAATCTTTACTGCAAATAGTTAAAGTGAATGCATGTTTATCAATTTTAATGACTTATATATTTTTCAGATATCTCTCTTTCCATAGGTACTTTTTTGATTCAGTATATAATTAATTATTTTATTTATTATTAAATGCTGCATTAATTGGCATATATAAAAATAAAACTCTTCAAAAAAGCAATAAAAACTTGGAAGCACTTCCAAAATGCTGTTCTTTGTGACTAAGATATGTAACATTTGAGTTTTTTTAATGATATGGATGGTAATGATTTAAATGTGTTCTATTTTGGATATAGTTTACTATGCAGCTGTTTTAAGTGAATCTGTGCCAACTTCAAAACACAAAGATCCCATATTTGCATTTTGCATATTTACAAACACAATGGCTTACATGTAGATTGTACATGCATTGGAATGGGATCTTTTGATAATGTTTAATGAAAATATTAGCACAGTTTAACATTGACATTTGATGTGATAACACTTGCAAACACTTTATAAGGCCATAAGTGCTTATTATCTAGTCTAAACGGATGGTAAAATCACACAATAATGACATTATAAAAGAGAAAATTTGAAACAAAAGAAGAGAAGCTGCAGGAAATAAAGTAAACAGGCATGTAGTTAACACTCTAAATTGTATAGAAATGCAAGAAAATTAAACACTTCTTTCAAATTTTAGAGAGAAATGGAGTGAAATAAGAAAAACAGACGGACAATTAATGCACTGGGAGACATACACAAAGGACATGTTTGTCTATCTCTCTGATCTTGTCCATGTTAAAAAATTCTCTTTGGTCATGTATTTTACACTTCATTTCTCTCTAAGATTTGAATAAAGTGTCTGATTTTCTTGTATTTCTACACAATTTAGAGTATTAACTACATGCCTGTTTACTTTATTCTTTGCTGATTCCACTCCATTTCCTGTCATTTGCATTTTAAAACATCGGCCTGTGCTATTTTCATTGGGAGAGCTACTCCTATTTACATCTAACCATATGACTACAAGTGTGTTTAATATTTTATTGAAGGTGGGGAACTACAGAAGATAACACGGAGGGTGGACATCTAGTCACCTTTAAAGTATAAACAACCCGTGGGCAGGTGCATGAAGAAAAGATGTCAGATCGGTTCCATCGTGCCGCGAGAGATGGCTATCTTGATATCCTCCATGATGCAACACGTCGTGATTGCAACAAGGAAGATGAGGATGGGATGACGCCAACTCTCTGGGCTGCCTTTTATGGCAAACTCGATGCCCTGCGTCTTTTAGTCGGGAGAGGGTAAGAATGATTTAGCATTTCAAAAGAACAATAGAACATCTCTAGTGACAGTGACAGGATTCACATTGATGAGGCATTTCAGTAATTTAGGTCAAAAAGGATATTATATAACTATGAGACATATCTCCAAAGTTTCAGTTGAAAAGAATTGTCAAAACATAAAGATTTTGGCAGTGTTCTCAAATATTTATTATAAAGTGTTCAAACACAATCCAAAATGTATTGGGACTGACTTAATACATGTAGATTGGAAAGAAAAACAAAACATGCAGATTGGCATAGGCTTGTATTTTGAAGTAAACATGAACATTTATGGATTAAAATTGAAACTGAAAAATGTGTTCACATCAGGAGGTGTTCGGATTAAAGAGAGTGTTAAGATGAACAGGTTTAGTAATGTAAATAAAAGAAATAAATTTGATAAAAATTGACTCAATTGAAAACATTTGTTTTTTCATAATGGGTTCATAGCTAACAGCTTATTGATGTATAATGTAATTGTCGAATCCTTAAAGTATTATGTACTAAGTCATGTTATACTGGTAAATGTATTTACTTGAAGATAAACCAATACCTTGTACATAAGGGATAATTTTCCAAATGTCCTCAAAAGTAGTTTTAATCCCACCCCCTCTTTTGATTTTACTTTGAACAATTAACAATGCACTATATGCATTAGTTAGAATTACAAGATCAAAAATATAATAGGACACCTAACTGCAGCGAAGGGGAGTAACTTTTTGCCATTAAAGGATTCAAATAAATAGTTCTCTTTATCTTCAGCTTGACATTTTATATTCAGGTTTTATCGATTTTTTATCTCTTAAAATATGTCATCAATAGGTTAAGAGGATGATATATACAGATAGTGTTAAGTTCTAAGAATTAAACTTTTATCAATTTTTAAAATACTTTTAAACATTTTAAACATTCTGAGAAGTCAGTGGCTTCCTGAAGAATGCATCTGAATAATCTCAAAAGTAGCTGTCATGTTGACCAGTTAGAGTTTCAATATACAAATAAGGACCAGGCACTTATGAAAGCATAAAATTTGATGGATGCTATTTTGATTTGATAGCTGAATTTTAATCAACCAATCTGATTAGTCTCCTATTCCTCAGAGTGAGCCAATCCTTGGGATTGGCTCAAAAAGGGGTGCACCAAAGCTCTCCCCCTTGGTACGCCCCACACAGTTGGTAAAACTGGCAGAACAACAGAACATATTTACTAACATGTACATAATGATATAATGCTGATTTTAACATGTAACATTTATTTAATTTATTCTGCTTCAGGGGTGATCCAGACAAATGCGATTTCCTGGGAAATACAGCCCTTCACTGTGCTTGTTCAAATGGACACACAAACGTTGTGTCCTTCCTGGTTGCCTTCGGGGTCAATATGTTTGCCTTGGATAATGACTTTCATATGGCCATAGATATCGCTGCCATGAATGAACACATGGAAATCGTGAAGTTCCTGGATAGTGCAATAGCCAAAGCAGGTGGTCTTAACACCAAAACTGTGCAAAAACAGAAAACAAAGGCGTCATTAGATGCCCAAAAAAGGGTAAAAATATACGAAAAACTCCAGAATAAGGCCCAGAAAAAAGCTGAAAAGGAAGACAGGGAACAGTTTCGAAAAAATAATACCACCTCAACAACTGATCAGGCAGATTCATATTCAATAAAAAGTTACCGAGGTAAAAAAGATGAGAAATTCACCCTACCAGGCAGAAATTTATCTACCATAAGTCAAACTGGTCCTCGTAATTATTCAGCCCATATTGATCCTGCCAAACGTAAGATCTCAACGGGATCTCGTTTTTCCACTGGAGTTGTAAGTAAAATTCAAGGCAAACGTCAACAAGATACCGTAAGTGAATTCCACGTGTCCAACATGCATTCTGGGAAACGCACTCAACGATCACTAAGTGGTTTCAAAAGGGACACTGACGTTTTATATGTGCCTAAAGCAGATTATGGCTCCGAGGATACTACTGACAGTCGATCAAATGGTGCTAACCAAATAACCGAAAAACCTGAAGTTCCCATGTTCGACCGCCCTGGTTTTGGGAACCTTGCATTTTTCTCAAAACCTGGAATAGCCACTGGTTTACAGTCTCTCTCTTCCGACCAAGCAAATGGCAATATAAATAATGAAAGGAATATTGAACGAAAATCAAGCGTTACTGACAGTATCGGGTCAGTGAACACCTTAATGCAGCGCATGGAGAACATTCCGTGGAATATGGAAGACATTGAAAATTTGGAAGATGACATCGAAGAAGCTTCTCCATTGGAGTTATTCCTGACAATACACAATGTTTCAGACTATATTTCTGTGCTATCGCAAGAGAGGATGGACATGGAATCGTTGATGCTGTGTTCGGAAGATGATCTAAGAGCAATCGGGATACCATTGGGGCCGAGGAAGAAACTCATCGAGGCTTGTACCAGGAGAAGAGATGTTCTAAAACAACCGGGTCCTATAGTGGATGATATAATTTTATAATAATTTACGTTTTATCTCTCCTTCTGCCATGGAGTATACTCACGAAATTGGTACATAGTCCCCCCTCCCCCGTTGCCCGCTTAAGAGTATACCAAGCTAAACAAACATCATTGAAAAATAGCAGGCCATGGGTCCATATAAACATTTGAGTTGATCAAGTTAACATAAAACACTTATATGTAATGAGCTCACTGTTAAATACAACATGTGTCTAAACTATTTGAGATGGTGGTGTTAAGAAGTACTTTGCATCTAAAGTATTTGAGATAGTGGTGTTAAGAAGTACTTTGCATCTAAAGTATTTGAGATAGTGGTGTTAAGAAGAGCTTTGCAATTGAGTAGATATGTGTGGGTAAACACTAAAGCATATGGGTATATATTTTAGTCTGTTTGTGTATAAACACTAAGTGTTCAATACTTTTTAGCATTTTCATGGTAAGTGGTAATATTCAATTTGAATACTACCTAGATTTTGATAGATATTTAGAAGAACTCAATTTTAATACTGTTTAGCATTAGACCAAAAATTGGTAAAAATACTCCATGTGAAATACCTAAAGTATCTGATTAGTGAAACTATACTGACAGGCATTGTCATGTTCAATACTTAATGTTCAATACTTAATGTTCAATACTTAATGTTCAATACTTAATGTTCAATACTTAATGTTCAGTACTTAATGTTCAATACTTAATGTTCAGTACTTATGTCATGTTATTGAAGTATTCCTTGAATACGTTATGCCTTTTTTTGGTAGTATACTATGTTCAATACTTTTGAAAAATATTAGGATTTTACCATACTAATCACCTAAATGCCTAAGGCCATGGCCAATAATAAGTGTTGAACAAACAGATTAATAAAACTACATTAGTATAAAAAATTACATTTTTACAATTTATGCAATAATTAATGTGAATCTTGAATCATATTTGTGCAATTAATCATGGCAATGATTGCTTAACATAGGACTCTAATAGGACCCATTTAGTACTTTAATATGGTCTTATATTAGGTCCAAGTTGGGGCACTGCTTTTTGTTCTTTTACACTTTCAAAATGTAATTTATACAGCTGATACTTCTCTTCACTAAGAGCAGAAAATTATTTTCATATTTCTGAATAGTATTTTGTTGAATAAGCTTATGGATTGATATTGTTATTGTAGAATCATAGATGTCGGTGAACTATATATTGTGGAATCATACATATACATGTACAATAAAATGTAAAACCATTGAAGTATTGCACATTATATTGTAGAATCATAGATGTATTGTAGAATTATTTACATACAGTAAATGTATAAAATATTGTAGAACTATATATTACTTGAATGCACATTATTGAAATACAATAATATTGTACAATCAAATTATTTTATAGAATTACATAGTACTTAATTGTAGATTCAGATTGTATATTTAGATTGAACGCATTAAGTAAGTAATATGTTGTAGAATCATATATATTGTAGGATAATGTAGAGTTTGTAGAATCATGAAATGGTAAGTTCACATACAAGGTCATTTAATAAGTTCACGGAAAATGCTCTTATTTCAAAAGTTTTATTGAACAACCTGGTGTATGTGTTTGTCTGGATTTTTGTAAAATGATTGACACATACATACATCTATTTTACAGAGAATATTAATCAATAATGGTATTTGTTTCAAAGATTCAAGTCAGACTGCTTGTAGTATAATCAGACATGTCAGAAGCTCATCAGCAATTTCTTAAAGTATGACCCACCATTTTAAGGAACCACTGTTGAACCACTGATTCTATGGCAATTTGCTTGAATTTTTGCTTTTTCTGTCACCACCAAGTGGTGACAAATTGTTATATTCACCATCTTTTTTTGTGGATGGTGTTTGGTGATTGGCATTTATTGTTTGGCATCTGTAAGAAATGGCAGGTGGTGACACTTTACCTATTAATGCCTTGTTGTTATCATATTTAGGGTAAAAATATATTTAATACAAGCACTGGTGATCCGCTCGATTATGCCGGTTTGTTTCGGTAACAAAATGTCGTAACATCTAAGGTACGATTTTTCTTTTTTCCTTATTTCACACGTTGCAGGCAGAACTCCTACGACATTTTTATCACAAATGTATATCAGTAGCATATGTTTTAGAAAGGACACAATAATAACCTTGTTATGTATTTTTAATGAGACAACATGTATTTTTGATAACTCTGCTGCAATTTCAAAGAATTGTTGCATACATTCCTAATAGAAGTGTAGTACTACATGTACATGTAATACATGTACCTGTATGTCTGTACATTTTTCCCATGTTAACAATCTTGAAATGTGAACTCAATTTAATCACGTTTGGACAGTTGTAGTTGTGTTCAGATGAGGATTTACTGCATATGAAATAGGATTACAGTAAAACCTTTCTAAGTGGAACACCTTTGGTACCTCTAAAATGTGATCCACTTGGGAGATGTTACATTAACATTAAGTCAGCTGGTCTTGGGACTCTGAAAAGTGTTCCACTAAGAGAGGTGTTCCACTTGAAGAGGTGTTCCACTTGTAGAGGTGTTCGACTTGAAGAGGTGTTCCACTTGAAGAAGTGTTCCACTTGTAGAGGTGTTCCACTTGAAGAGGTGTTCAACTTGTAGAGGTGTTCGACTTGAAGAGGTGTTCCACTTGTAGAGGTGTTCCACTTGTAGAGGTGTTCCACTTCAAGAGGTGTTCCACTTTACAGCTTTCACAGTATATCCAGAAACAGCATTATATTCAAACAGCACTGAAGTATGTTTTGCTGTCAAGTTAATTTCTTATTTCCTTGAAGAATGTTATAAATGTAATGATTATCTCATTGTTTTGTTTCTCATTTTATGATTGGTTGATCAGGCATCACATGGCATTAAATATCTTTTGATAATTCCATGTGTTGCTTCCTGGTGATTGGGAAATAAGCAAGCCTAATTTGGAAAAGTGAATATTTCCTAAACTTTGTTTTTTTAATGTTCCTTCTCCCTAGTTCCAGAATGAGAACAGAACAATGAATGATAAAACAAATATTTCATTCCCTTTTCAGGAAATGACCTTTGTCTTTTTCAGAAGTAATATTTCCCTTGCCCATCATTGGGGAATACACTTGTGAATGATACAGAGGTAATAACTGAAAAGAGAATGAAATATTTGTAAAATATAATGATATAAAAAATAATAATATATGGTTATCTAGTACATTTACACACATGGACTTCCAATTATAAAATTGCAGTTCTGACTTTTTGATCATGATTCCAATTGAAATAAATAAATTATGTATACAAATGAAAAGGATTAATTGTTGGTTATATCAATATTGAGCCTCAGATACTTTCAAAATATGTTGGACTGGTGTTATCTTAGATGTTTTTATGTGACCACCAGAAGTAGTGACATATTGTTAAAGTTTCCATTTTTTGTGAGTGGTGTTGGGTGTTTGGTGTTCCGCATTTTATTTGGCATCTTAACAGCATTCAGCATCCATAACAAATTACAAAAGCTTTTGCATGTTAATGCTTGTCTTTCTTGCTGTATTCTGGACAGAAATGGAGAGTAAGTAATTGATTTGTTTGAAAAAAGGCAACTGATATTAGTGGAGATTTGGAGGCCAATGAAATAAACGAAGTTCATACAGCCTTTAAGATTAACTTGCATTTTGATAATGTCTTGGGACTGAATATCACGTCATCCCTGAATATCAACCCTTTTTCAGACCCAGTGATAGAATTGTTTATCAAAAATTTTCTTGAGATTTTAGGCACTTGAACGTACTAATGTAACACTTTTATAAGAGACAATAAAATCAGTTTTAAGCATTTTATTTATTTACAAAAATTATACATTCTGTACATGTAAGATAATGACGCTCCCTTTGTCCTAATCACCACTTAAAGGCTTATCTTCAACTCCCCCAGTTTTTGTGCAATATGTGATTTTATAGACCCAGGGAAAAAAATCTCTCTGTATATACATAAACTTATTACTATTTTTCCCTAGGCCTATGGTGAAAAATATATCCAAACATTACATTAACAGTCGTTGTCCATCTTTATTTTACATAACCATTGTATTGTATCCAATTTAAGAACAGAAATAAAAGAAAATTGTCTTTAGAATAATTGGACCACCTTATAGCAGTTCACATTGACTGGCAATTTGAGGTTGTAATGGACTTTAGTGAAGATGTTTCTGAACAATCTTAGTTTAAATAAAGAGGAGCAATATCCCGTACTTCATATCTTCGTGTCAATATGAAAAAATTCATCTTATAAAATTCAAAATTCAATTAAAATTCATATAAGATTCTTATGAGGTTCATCCGTTAATTCTGGGGTACATTCCATCTTTTTGATTGCCATGGCAATAAAATGTGATTTATTCAACAAAATCTCCAGAGTTTCATCTTGACATGGAGATCTGAGCATTCTGGGGTATTTCCTCTCTTGTTCAACTAGATCATTTATCAACATGGGAAATAGATCAAAGAAAGATGGCAGTAGTGGTCTGTCAAAAAAATCTTAAGACAGATAGTGCTGCCATCTTTCTGTCAACCTAGAGTCACCAGCATAAAGAGGTCTATCAACTTTTTAACATTTTCAGACAATACATGAAAGGACCTCTACAACGGGAAGGAAAATACATATTTATGATATTTCTTCTTATAAAATAAATAAAATTTATATGAATTAATAATTATATTCCAACACATTGGAAAACAATTCATGACAATTTCTATACACTACAATACATGACAAAGCCTTCATAATTATCAAAATGGCCATTTAATTTTCATCACCTGCAAATGGTTACAAAACATCAACAGCTCATGCCAGTCACAAAAATGAAGGCTGTAATAATACTCACGACCAATCCACCATTTATTGGTGTTGCCATAATTAAAATGAATCGACAATTAATAATTAATGATATATACAATTAAATTTCAACATACAATACATTGTACTCCTGGATTGTAAAACAATGATCTCATTTATAAGGAAATGTCCTTATTACAGTACTCCAAATAACTATTTCAATTTTGATGTTTCAAAACCACTCTCCTGAAAATACAAAGGCCCATAAATATTGCCTTTGAAAAAACTGCTCACTTTTTTAGCAGCATGAAAAGTGCAAATTATTAGGGATCAATTTCTAAATTCACTATGTAACAAATTTTAAGTGATGTAAATACTACAAGAATTAAGGCATCTTGTTTTTGCCCCACCCCTCCTTTCTATTCCATCTACACCCCCTCCCCCATAATTTTGGCTACCAGAATTCGACTTTTGGATATGTATCAGAATCTGTTAAAGTGTGGCAATTAAAAAAATAAATCAACTTCTCATAACTCTCTGAACTATTGTAATTGAGATTAAACACTGACATATTTTGATATTGCTATCCAATACTAATACTAATACAATACTGTCAGTTGCCAAACTAATGGAGGGGGGGGTGTATATTTAAGGAAAAATTAAGAGGGGAAGGGTGACAAAGAATTCATGCAAACACTCGAAAATGAGTAAAAGGCACTCTAGGGCGCATTGAAGCCTCATTGAGGCAAGCTATTTGAATGTTTGACCACACAGTTCAAACTACAATTGAACATTCATAAGTGATAAAATCACAATGAAACACATCACAATCTACCACAATCTATACATTACTGTATATGCTGGTTTTAAGATGTGCATAAGTCACGGCTCGATAAAATCAACAATATTTATACATTTGAAATGGTCAAAGCCATATGAACTTTATCAAATGAGAAATACCAAATCGCATTTTCTTCATTTTAACTTTTTACACCAATATTTGTAAGCAAGTCTTTGAATGTAAATCTCCTTATACGTCCTAACCTGCAATTGAATAAACTCCATAGCATACCCCTGACCTGCCATTAAATAGTACCTCCCTGACCTGCCCTGATTATACCTCCTAACCTGGCCCTGAATAATATCTCCCTAACATATCCCTGAATATCCTCTAACCTGCCCCTGAATAACCCCCTAGCCTACTCCTGAATATCCCCCTAACCTGCCCCTGCAGCATTCTTAATACCGTCCTGCAGCTTCTGTTGTAGCCCAACATCCTTGAGTATTTCATTTACAACCTCATTGGCCAAAACTTTATGCTCTTCTCCAACTTGTCCCTGTTGCACATTTTGCTGTTGAGCATTTTGGTGTTGAGCATTTTGCTGCTGCACATTTTGCTGTTGCACATTTTGCAGAGGAATGTTTTGTGCTTGCACATTCTGGGCTATATTAGGATTCCCTTGATTATTTTGTACAATATTTGGTTCATTTTTAACAGGGATATTTTGCTGGATAGGTTGCTGTGCATTGTTTCCAACAGGCTGTTGTGCATTGTTTCCAACAGGCTGTTGTGCATTGTTTCCAACAGGCTGTTGTGCATTGTTTCCAACAGGCTGTTGTGCATTGTTTAGAATAGCTTGTTGCTGTGCATTGTCTACCACAGGTTTTTGCACATTTTGAATACCAACAGGCTGTTGTGCAATATTTTGCTGCGCAACATTTTGCTGTCCTTGTATATTTTGCTGCACTTGCTGTTTAAGATCCTCTAGATTTTGCTGCTCTTTTTGCTGCTGCTGTTGCTGCTGCTGTTGATTTGCTAATTTAGCTGCATCTATGGCTAGCTGCTGTTTTTCTAACTCTGCTTTCTGTTTTTCAAGTTCCTCTTTCTGTTTTTTCTCTAACTCTTCTTGCTCTTTCTGTTGTTTTTCTCGCTCTTTCTCCTGCTTCTCTTTGGCTTTCTCCTCTTTTTCAATAGCTTTCTCAATTTCATGCTCTTTCTTATGTTCCTTCAGTTCGTTGATCAACTCCTTTTGCTCCTGAAAAACAGAAACATGAACAATTTAAATCTAGACCTCGATATGTGTCACCTTTAGTCCACTTCACTTATCCAGGTTACATTTTACACCAATCACCTGTATTAACATGGGTGAAGTGCCCAGTACGCATCTTTAAAATCTTCTTGGGGAGAACCCCCAAGACCCCAAAACACTTGTTTTTCACTTCACTCAACTCATATTCCCGTGGTGGCATACTTCTCATAAAAATAGCGCTTCACCTATGATTAAGCATGAGATCTATGTGTATATTAAGCAACAGTGGTATCATTGCAAAAGGCAAATATTGACTTTTTCTTGGAAAAAACAGAATATAAGTAAAACTCTATGAAATATCTCATTTCTGAGAATGTCTCATTGGTAAACTTAACAATTAGACAAAGCAAGAACAGTAACACCTGAATATCTGAACGCATCTCTGATTTGAACATCTCTCAAAGTCAACTTTTTTCTCTGTCCCAATGTTCTATTCTCCAATAGCAACCACTACTGAAAACTTAAACATGTATGTGAACACTTGGTAATCCAAAGACTTTAAGCTGGTCCCAGTGGAGTTTAGATTTGACAGGTTTTACTGTAACATGAACACCCGTCAATGTCAATTTTTTTCTCTGTCCGAATGTTATATTGTTTAGCTAAAATGAACATATAAACTCATAACAACATTTAAGACAAGCCAAGATGAATGTGATTAAATCTTTTGGGAGCTTCACCTTTCGATTTAAACCCAATTCATAAAAATATGTTTTTTCCTTAAAATACAAGTAAAACCTCTGTATGATACTTAGTGGAAAAGGTATTGGTCCCAAAGATCTAATGATTAGTTCTTTAGACTGTAGCCCAGCACAGTACTAAACCTACATATTTATTACCCAATTTTACTGATTATACCTTTCGCTAGAAAACCTATGTACCCTGTAAGAAAGTAGATATAAATTCAATATCCCAGAGATTAACAATCAGGGTAAATTTAAAAATGTTGAAGGTTTAGAAAAGAAACAAGTTTTGAAAGTATAAAGTACATTCATCTAAATGAAGAGATGAAAAAATGGATCGAGTGATATAAATGAATCGAGTTAAACAGTAATCAATTAAGTCAGATTGACCAGCTTATATTACATTCTACATTCTAGATAAAATGTGAAAAAATATTGGAAATGAAAACCAACCTCAATGAGCTGCTTTTGTTGTTCTTGTTGTTTCTCGAGCGTATCAATCAGGTCTTTCTGCTTCTTTGCATCTTCCTGCTTCTCTTGTTCAAGTTGGAGATCCTTCTTGGACTTCTCACCATCAGCTTTCTTATCATTCTTGCTGGCATCACCATCCTTAAGGTGATCAGCATCTGCTATAGCAGTGTCCTGGAGTGGAGATTTTATTGATTTATTTGGTATTTTATACAGAAAGTTGTTTAAATGGGTCCTCTAAATTTCATCTTATTCTATTTTAAAAGTTCTTTATTTGATGGGTATTTCACATTGGAATATTTTCCATGTTGAACTTTTCATAGGGAAACTTTTTTCATTTACACGACTCTAAATCTAAATTTAGGAAGTAATTTATATAAATATTCAGCGGATTTATAAACATATAGTATTGCAGTGTTTGGTGTTTGAATATTATAGACAAGGAAAACAGGGTTGTGATGTCAAACATGTAGGTCAGGCAAATGGCTGCTCACATACGCAACAATTACAAACATAGGTGGCACTGCCTCCTTGTCTTCTAGAACATTCTTATTTGATATCATTACTTGAACATGGTTTTCTATATCTTTCCCAAACAACAATCAATCTTAACAATATCAATATCATAAAAATCTAAAATTATAATACACTAAAACCTGTGAAGTGGAACACCCCTGTAAGTGGAACACCCCTGTAAGTGGAACATAATTTTGAGGTACCATAGCTGGTGTTCTACTTTCACAGGTTTTACTGTACTTGGTAAAACGTAGCGATCCATATTAAATACAACAATTTGTATCCTTACAACATAAAAAGTTTATCCTATGTTATAATCAATTAGGCCCAAACAAATTAATTATCTGTTAACTGGTCAAACCATTTTCTTATGTTTTTAAGGATTTTATTTGAGTAAAATGAAACAGAAAAAGACTGGTCACTAAACCATTTTTATAAATAATTCAAATTAGTTTCTGCAAATTAGTTTTCTGTTAAGTGGTGCATAACTTTTCATTCAAAAGTATTCCTGATCAAACTCTTTTCCTATATTTTTAAGGATTTTTAGATTAAAATGAAACAGAAAAAGCCTTTTCATAAGTAATTCCAGTTCAAGAGACGATTAACTTGTATGAGCCCAAACCCTTAATTATATGTATGTATGTAAACAAAAGTTCAATAACTTTTTCAAATATATCTTTAAAAAAGCTTCTTAACATATAGATGTACATTTAAAGCACATGGGTAAAACATATATAATGAAAACCACACCCAGGCTAAAAAGCAATGATACTTTTTTTGGGTTTGCTTCGCTTTATTAAAGACTTTGATTGTTTGGAACCAGATCTTTTTTGTCGAGTATTTTTCCGCAGGTTTTTACGGGCTCCAACTAACTTCTTACGCTGTAAATGATATGTATGATACAGTACTTGAGTCAAAATCAAATGTTAGAATATCATGGAGAATTGAAAATACAGAATAGATTGAGTGCCAGGAATAATTATGAAAAGCAAGTATAAGAGGAGGTAAATGTTCTCTTTGAGAGGTGTAAAAAATGGTGATTTCATTTCCCTTTTTAGGCATGGCTCTTGATCACTAATTTCTCCCTATACAACATATTACTAGTTCTATATATATTTATATCAGGGCATTTGAAAAGCATACAGAATTTTGAAGATTACATAACTGAAAATGATTAAGTACTACAACTAGTTAAATTCTACAAAGGAAAAGCATGAAAAGCATGAAAAAGCATGGAAAGGGAATGTTTTCGATTAGAGAACCTAGCTATGTTAAGCACCAACAAAAATGCCAAAAATATTAATACCAAATATGGTAAGGTGCTGTGCTTTGAATTCTAGGGCTTTATAATGTTAGGGCATAAAATTCCAGAGCTCTAAAACCTCTACAAGATAAACTAAACATATGGAGTCAAATATCGACAGACTTTTTTAGGCCCCCTTTCACATGTTTTACCTTCTCCTCTCTTGCTGGTTCTTCTTTAATTTCTTCCTTTCCATCTTTCTCAGACTGGAAAGTTGTACAGTAATTACATGGAATGTGAGGGATAATGAGTGAAAACATGCTCCATGTTGGCATGCTTATTAAGTGGCTGTGTGTTTGGTGATCAATGCATTCAATGAGATGAGGTATTAATCCAATTGTGACTGTTTGTTTTGGTGCCACAATATAAGCCCAATTACTTCCATTAATCAGACATAACTCAAGACATATTTCAAATGTCATAATATCTTAATTAAATAGAAAATGAATGAATGGCTAATCCTTAATCTTTGTCAAAATGTTTACAGTAGTGTGAATAAATGAAGATAATTAATTATCTGATTGTTTACCACTCCTCCATTCCCATCAAACAAAATTTTAAAATATTGATTACCTTCACTTAAATTCAACATTTCACTTATAATTCAACATTTCACACCCTCCCCAAATAATATAACTTTAATCTTTCACAAATGTTAGAATTTTAGACACCATCCCTAAACCTAATACATCTTAAATATATTTATGGGAAGTCAGTCTATTTAGACATAATTTTGCATCTTTAATTTAAAACATGATTATTCATACCTAATTGAAACAGAGAGAATGCCAAGTATGTAGTTGAAACGGAGATTTATAGATTTTATGCATTCATGTATTATCTCTACAGTGTTGTATTTAACTGGCATTTGTACAAGCTAATATCTACATGTATACAGAAATAAATAAATGAGAAAAAATCAGCCATACCTTGTCTGGCTCATCTGGGGCATGAGGGATAGGAGGTTCTTGGCGAATTTCTGAAACAGAATAATATTGCATAAATACAAGTTAAATTCAAAGCTATCAGGTTGATGAAAAGTGATTTCAATTTAATTTGGTTTGCATTGCAGAACATTTAACAATAAATATTTTTCAACTGATTGGCTGTTTTAACTTGGTTTTCAACTCTTGCATTCAATGTATATGTGTTCAATTACTTTTGGGACAATATTGAAATACTGAACTACTGCCATAGAATTAGAAAAATACATAAATCGGTAAACTGGGGCAGGTGAGTCTCAAACTCAAAGTGTGTCTGTAACAAATGGTAGGTAGTGACATTTTGCATGTTATTGCCTTGTTATAACTGAGTTTTACAAGTGGATTTTAAAGCAAAATTTACCTTTCTTCTCATCTATATCCTTGGTTTCATCATTGGCATCATCTTTAGCAGGTTTAACAGTTGGCTTCCCTCTTATTGCCTCCTCAACTGAAGATAAATACAAATAACATTAATACTTTATACATCCTTGGTTTCAACGTTGGCATCATCTTTAGCAGGAGGTTTAACAGTTGGCTTCCCTCTTATTGCCTCCTCAACTGAAGATAAATACAAATAACATTAATACTTTATAGATCCTTGGATTCAACATTGGCATCATCTTTAGCAGGAGGTTTAACAGTTGACTTCCCTCTTATTGCCTCCTCAACTGAAGATAAATACAAATAACATTAATACTTTATAGATCCTTGGTTTCAACGTTGGCATCATCTTTAGCAGGAGGTTTAACAGTTGGCTTCCCTCTTATTGCCTCCTCAACTGAAGATAAATACAAATAACATAAATACTTCATAGATCCTTGGATTCAACATTGGCATCATCTTTAGCAGGAGGTTTAACAGTTGACTTCCCTCTTATTGCCTCCTCAACTGAAGATAAATACAAATAACATTAATACTTTATACATCCTTGGTTTCAACGTTGGCATCATCTTTAGCAGGAGGTTTAACAGTTGGCTTCCCTCTTATTGCCTCCTCAACTGAAGATAAATACAAATAACATTAATACTTCATAGATCCTTGGATTCAACATTGGCATCATCTTTAGCAGGAGGTTTAACAGTTGGCTTCCCTCTTATTGCCTCCTCAACTGAAGATAAATACAAATAACATTAATACTTTATAGATCCTTGGATTCAACATTGGCATCATCTTTAGCAGGAGGTTTAACAGTTGACTTCCCTCTTATTGCCTCCTCAACTGAAGATAAATACAAATAACATTAATACTTTATACATCCTTGGTTTCAACGTTGGCATCATCTTTAGCAGGAGGTTTAACAGTTGGCTTCCCTCTTATTGCCTCCTCAACTGAAGATAAATACAAATAACATTAATACTTCATAGATCCTTGGATTCAACATTGGGATCATCTTTAGCAGGAGGTTTAACAGTTGGCTTCCCTCTTATTGCCTCCTCAACTGAAGATAAATACAAATAACATTAATACTTTATAGATCCTTGGATTCAACATTGGCATCATCTTTAGCAGGAGGTTTAACAGTTGACTTCCCTCTTATTGCCTCCTCAACTGAAGATAAATACAAATAACATTAATACTTTATAGATCCTTGGTTTCAACGTTGGCATCATCTTTAGCAGGAGGTTTAACAGTTGGCTTCCCTCTTATTGCCTCTTCAACTGAAGATAAATACAAATAACATTAATACTTTATACATCCTTGGTTTCAACGTTGGCATCATCTTTAGCAGGAGGTTTAACAGTTGGCTTCCCTCTTATTGCCTCTTCAACTGAAGATAAATACAAATAACATTAATACTTTATAGATCCATGGATTCAACATTGGCATCATCTTTAGCAGGAGGTTTAACAGTTGACTTCCCTCTTATTGCCTCCTCAACTGAAGATAAATACAAATAACATTAATACTTTATAGATCCTTGGTTTCAACGTTGGCATCATCTTTAGCAGGAGGTTTAACAGTTGGCTTCCCTCTTATTGCCTCTTCAACTGAAGATAAATACAAATAACATTAATACTTTATACATCCTTGGTTTCAACGTTGGCATCATCTTTAGCAGGAGGTTTAACAGTTGGCTTCCCTCTTATTGCCTCTTCAACTGAAGATAAATACAAATAACATTAATACTTTATAGATCCATGGATTCAACATTGGCATCATCTTTAGCAGGAGGTTTAACAGTTGACTTCCCTCTTATTGCCTCCTCAACTGAAGATAAATACAAATAACATTAATACTTTATAGATCCATGGATTCAACATTGGCATCATCTTTAGCAGGAGGTTTAACAGTTGACTTCCCTCTTATTGCCTCTTAAACTGAAGATAAATACAAATAACATTAATACTTTATAGATCCTTGGATTCAACATTGGCATCATCTTTAGCAGGAGGTTTAATAGTTGGCTTCCCTCGTATTGCCTCCTCAACTGAAGATAAATAAACCATCATCTCATTTTAAAGAAATTGTAGGCCAAAAGCCAGGAGGGTTCAGGTGTTGAATTCTGGTCAGAAATTCTTTCAAAATCATGCAAATCTTAATAGCCTTTGCATATTTGGATACATTAAAATGAATAATCAAGAGATACATTTTTGAACCCAATCTAGATGTACAAAACATAAATAGCGTTTCCTATAAGGATTGGGTCAGCACTTTAGCATAAGATTTATACCTAATTGAACAGAATCTACCATACTTGCTTAACCATTTCATTATACCATAAACCATATCACCATATCTTGCTACACCATATCATTAATAATCTCTTAGCATGATAACCTCATAAATCATATCAAATGTACATTTCCTCAGCATGAAACTGGATGTACAAATACAAACTTATTTTTTTCAATTCTAATGGTGAGAATTGCAATATCTCCCTGATATTCAGTGAACCTTTTAATACGAATACCTCTCTAATCTGAACACCTTTTCCTGTGAACATTTTGTAATATATCATAAACTAGCATTGTGAAGAACTCTTTAAATGTGAACACCTGCCTAGCTTAAAACTTTTGGCCTGTTTCAGTGGCAATCAGATTATACAGGTTTTACTATATTCCTTACACAAATACATTTATACTTTTTTATAGATATGGCCAGAGATCAATATGGTTTCAATAAGGGAAGGACATGGTGAATATGATTTCCATGGAGGGATGTTTTTAATATCAATTATATTCCCTGGTGTTATTCACTGGGAGGTAGTATAGAATATTACATACTTAAGTACATGTAATTAATGATATCAACAAAATTTTACCACAACTATGAATATTTGAAAATGAAGTATAAAAATAAACAAAATTGCAGCTATTACTTTTTAAAGTAAAATATATTTCCTTTATTATAAGATATTTACAAAACTGCTTATCATTAAGTTTCAATAATCAAGCATTTTATGAGTTCTATCCAAACTTTTCTACATTATGGGCCTTATGTACGACTTTAAAACGCTAGTTTACTGTGATTTTGTATTATATTATCAAACAAATGAATCCCAGTCAACTTCCATAATATATAATTTTTTGTTTCATTCTTGATATGTCTTTTTGGATGTACTTCACTCAGTGACATCTTTATGCAACCTTAGCTTTATCTTAAGTTGTGTTTAAATATCACATTCAAAGTTTGTTTCCTCTAGCATGAATTTTATTGTGCTTTTTGAGATAATATTCCTGTGAAAATGCTTTAGAACAAACATTACATTTAAAGTTCTTTTCTACAGTGTGAGTTCTATAATGTTGGTTAAGATTAGACTTAACTGCAAATGTTTTAGAACAAACATCACAATTGAAACTCTTTTCACCAGTATGAATTCTATAATGTAAACTAAGATGCGATTTTTGAGCAAATTTTTTAAAACAAACATCACAAGTTCTTTTCTCCAGTATGGATTGTATAATGTATTTTAAAAGAAGATCTATGAATAAATGTTTTATAACAAAGATCACATTTGTAGCTCTTTTCTCCAGTGTGAACTCTACAATGTCTGATGAGATCAGTCTTTTGTGCAAATGCTTTAGAACAAACATCACATTTGAAGTTCTTTTCTCCAGTATGAATTTTGTAATGTTGGTTACAATTAGACTGACGTGCAAATGTTTTAGAACAAACATCACATTTGAAGTTCCTCTCTCCAGTGTGAATTATATAATGTTTTTTGAGACCAGACTTTTGTGCAAATGCTTTTAAACAAACATCACATTTGAAGTTCTTTTCTCCAGTATGAATTTTGTAATGTTGGTTACAATTAGACTGACGTGCAAATGTTTTAGAACAAACATCACATTTGAAGTTTTTTTCTCCTGTATGATTTCTATAATGTAAGTTAAGAGAATACTTAAGTGTAAATGTTTTAGAACAAACATCACACTTGAAGTTCTTTTCTCCAGTATGAATTCTATGATGTAAGTTAAGAGAAAACTTTCTTGAAAATGTTTTAGAACAAACATCACATTTATAGTTTTTTTCTCCAGTATGAATTTTATAATGTTTTTTAAGACAAGACTTTTGTGCAAATGTTCGAGAACAAATATCACATTTTAAGTTCTTTTCTTCAGTGTGAATTTTATAATGCTGTTTAAGACAAGACTTTTGTTCAAATGTTTGAGAACAAACATCACATTTGAAGTTCCTTTCTCCAGTATGAATTTTATAATGTTGTTTAAGACAAGACTTTTGTGCAAATGTTTTAGAACAAACATCACATTTGAAATTCTTTTCTCCAGTATGAATTCTCTTATGTGTGTTAAGAGTATCCTTCCGGCTAAATGTTTTTGAACAAATATCACATTTGAAGTCCTTTTCTCCAGTATGGATTCTATAATGTATGTTAAGGGCTGCTTTTTGTGCAAATGTTTTTAAACAAACATCACATTTAAAGTCCCTTTCTCCAGTGTGAATTCTTAAATAATGTACATTAAGAGTACTCTTTTGCATAAATGCTTTAGAACAAACATCACATTTGAACTTCTTTTCTCCAGTATGAATACTCTTGTGTAAAAAAAGAGAAGACTTGTATGCAAATGCTTTAGAACAAACATCACATTTGAAGTTATTTTCTCCAGTATGGATTGTATGATGTTTCACTAGTCTAGACTTACATTTCCACACTCTATGGCATATATCACAAATATGTTCTCCTTTGTGGCCATTTGCCAGTCCTTGAAAACCATTTGTATTCATTTTAACATTAGAAGTATCATCATTCATTGAAGGAGCAGAATTATTTGTCATACTTTTGGCAGTGTTAATCCTATCAACATTATTCAACCCAACATCAGCATCATGTATCGTTTCATCAACATGGTTTACCATACCATCAGTATCATTGATCAGATCATCAGTATTAATGACCTTGCTACCATAGTCCATGTTGTTTTCCATACCCTCAGCATCATTGACCACACTTTTTGCATGACGCATCATTCCATCAGCTTTCTTTGTCATACAATCACCATCATTGATCACATCAGGAGTATTAATGACCTCGCTAACAAAGTCCCTGATACTTAAGTATTTTTAGGTAAATTCCAAATGTTTTCCGCCTAAATTTCTTAGTTTACTGGTCTAATGTATGCTGCATGATGTTCAGGAAATATAAATCCAATATTTACTGAATGATAGAAGTTCCAAATAACTATGAGTCCAATATTCATTGAATAATACACAATCTTGAATAAAAGTAATTTAAGATTGAACAGGCTGGAGGTATAAATATTATTCACGAACAATCCTTTATTTTTATGCTTTTGGTATTTTTGTGTTGTTATACTTTTATGTCATTTTGTCATATTCCAATTCTACACTAGCCCCTCGTGTACCAGTAACACTGTTACCACAATTTTCCTGGTATTATTGAATTAAATATAATAGTAGTATCCTACTCCTGGTGTTAGTTGAAGCACTTGTTCAGTTCTAGTGTAGCACTGTGTAATGTTCTAGTTTCCCTCACATTTTATACCCAATTCTAAGTTTATTTGCTATACAGATAAGCTTCAGCTCTTTATGAGAATAAATCTTAGTGTTACATGAACCTTTGTCTCTGCTTCTTTATTTACTGTAGTATTTACTGTATATTTACTGTAGTAGGCTTAACAAAGCTTGAGATTTAGGTTATATAAAGTCTAATTTGTTTACTGTAGAAGGCTAACAAAGCTTGAGATTTAGGCTATGTATGTAGGGGTCCCACGATACACTATCTTCAATTTCGATACGAGCAACGATATTTACCTCACGATACGATACAAACGATACTAGCAATGTAAGTGCGTAACAAATAAATTTATTTAATAAAAACAAATACAAGACAAATGTCAACCGCTGAACTTTGAACGTGAAAAATTTCTTTCTTTTTCTCCATTTTTTACTGGAAACCGGAAATACATTCTACGCCGGATTACGCTAGGCGGATAACAAAATGGAAACGGGACAATGGGTAGATACAATCGTTAAGCTGCTTTGGAGCATGATTTTGCTGTTTTGGGGAGTTAAAAACGATACAATTTTTTAACCGATATTCAAGGTGAGTATCGATACGCTCGTATCGTGGCGTATTGCTCGAGCGCTCGAGCAAATACGAGCAATTGCGGGACCCCTATATGTATGTCAATAATATCTCAAATTGTGTAAACTGTACACATTCCTTAAGTTAAGAATATGGTTTTGTGCAAATGTTTTACAACAAACATCACATTTGAAGTTCTTTTCTCCAGTATGAATTATATATAATGTGAGCTAAGATTAGACTTTTGCGTAAATGTTTTTAAAAAGTTGGTTAAAAGGTACACTTATATATTATTATATAACACGCCTAGCAAAGCATTTGTATGGAAGTCACTGGGAAAGTTAGCGAGCTATACCCACCGATATTGCCCGATTACCTCGATATAGCCCCCTTACCTCGTTTTGATTAAATTCTTTATTAACCATGCCAATATCATATCATGTTTAATTTCGATCAAATTCTACTCGCACAATGTGTGACATTATTGATATTAAATTATTTAATAACCATGCCAATATCAAGATATCGATTTTACCCAGAATGCAATATTTGGCAAAATAATTCGATATAACATTTGGATTTTAACTTTTTGAAACCTTTTTAAAAAATCTGTTCCTAAAATAAACAAAATGGTTCTTTCGGGTTTACGAAAAAGACTGACCCAACCGACCACCGTTTTAATTTTACTTTCTTCTAATTTTGCATCCTTTCATCTTTATGTAAAAGACCGACAGCCGACCTCGTGTACCCAACTGTGGAGAGTGACTGGTCAGTGGTCGGCGGTCGGTGTTTTTCATAAACCTGATTCTTTCACTTCCCCCAAAATTCAAGATGGCTGACACTCTATGGGTCAGATAACATATTATTACCTACCTGTCCTATAATTTGGGAAATGTAGGTAGCTTAAAATTGTGTTTGCAAGATTAAAGGCATAAAATAAGGACATAATATAATGCGGCATGCCATATCAAATAGGAGTTGCAGGCAAGGTTCATTTCTGTCACTCTTATACATCTTATACTGGTATACCCACAACTTAGTATTACCCTATTCTAATTTTAACATCATTGGTACTTATTCTATAATTCAGAATTAACATGCTCATATTCAACAAATTGTGTTTGTATAAAACTATATCACAGATCTTAACATTGAGTAATGAAACAGTAAATATTTATCCAACAAATTCTGTTTGTATAAATCTATATCCCAGACCTGAACAAGTTGAAACAGTAAATATTTACCCAACAAATTCTGTTTGTATAAAACTATATCACAGATCTTAACAAGTTGAAACAGTAAATGTTTATCCAACAAATTCTGTTTGTATAAAGCTATATCCCAGACCTGAACAAGTTGAAACAGTAAATATTTACCCAACAAATTCTGTTTGTATAAAACTATATCACAGATCTTAACATTGAGTAATGAAACAGTAAATATTTATCCAACAAATTCTGTTTGTATAAATCTATATCCCAGACCTGAACAAGTTGAAACAGTAAATATTTACCCAACAAATTCTGTTTGTATAAAACTATATCACAGATCTTAACAAGTTGAAACAGTAAATGTTTATCCAACAAATTCTGTTTGTATAAAGCTATATCCCAGACCTGAACAAGTTGAAACAGTAAATATTTACCCAACAAATTCTGTTTGTATAAAACTATATCACAGATCTTAACAAGTTGAAACAGTAAATGTTTATCCAACAAATTCTGTTTGTATAAAGCTATATCCCAGATCTTAACAATGGGTATTGAAACAGTTCTGCAAATGTTTATCCAAGTATTTACAGTGTGTTAATAACTATTTCTGTACTTTTATCACTATATCATAACCTATAAGCAAGGATAACGAATTCTTGCAGAATTTTGATGAAGCTCAAGAATATTAATTATTTCAATCATTGTCTGATCAATAATACATATAAAGATTTCAATCAAGCTTTTTGTCAAGTCTCATAAGAGTATGCTAGATATAAAGGATCCAGCTGTTGTAAAAGCATAGTTTCCAAATAAATAGGACACAATATCAGGAACATTTGCCTTTTTGAAAAGATTGAATCCAATTACACTTTCCCTTCTTATTTCTAAGCATAAGTTAATGATTTGTGTAAATAAATATAAACCCTACCTTTGTCTTTATCTGCAAGGGCTTTTTCTTGCTCAGGATCTTTCAGGATATTATCAGCATCTTTAGGAATATGGATTGGTTCTTTTTCTAAGTCTTGTACTGGTGGTTTAATAGGTTCATCAATGTGGCCTTTGTCTTGAGAGTAGAGGGTAGTGTAGGTACTGGCAAGGAGGATGGTCACCCCCAGGAAAAGTACAAGCTGTATGAATAGAGTATAAGATGCATAAATAGAGTACAAATTGTATGATAATATGAATTGGTTCTTTTTCTACAACCTGTATAGACAGAGTATAAGCTGTATAAATAGAGTATGAGATGAACATATAAAGTACATTATTTTTAGAGTTTATAATATTGATATTGTACAGGCATGACACTTTGAACACTATCACAGAAATGCTGTACAAACATGTGAGGCCAGAATTTTAAGCAGTTTTATGACATTCATTACTTTTAGGATCATCATCTACCAAATTCGGCCTAACTTCTTAACCCTTTCATTTCTGTGGATGTGGATATCTGTCATTCACAGTAACTCAAAAATATCCAGCAAAAAAATTAGTCAGAAATATAGTTGATCAAAATGCATTTTTGTCAGTAGGGTTAACACCTGTCTTATGTGAAAACTACATGTGAAAATGTCTAATGTGAAAACTATTGTACTTGCACTGACAAAAATGTTCAGATTGACATGTGTTCAAATTTCAGTGGTAACAATGGTAATCTATGGCGGATTGAAAAGAGACTATAGAAGTGTTCACATTTATAGATATTTAAATTAGAGAGGTGTTCAGATAGTTTTACTGTACTTATTGAAAGCCCTGTAAATAATTCAAATGGTACGAGGGGTGATCAATAAGTAATGGACGCTTTTTTACACAAATACTTTTTATAGACCAATCCCTTTGATTTTCCTACCAGTGATACATCATTCAACTATCTATCATTTCTGAGGATTTGAAGAAAAAATATAAAATACATGTTGATATATCTTTATTTCCTTGAAGGAGGTACAGGTACCCCGGGACCGACATTTACGTCACATATTCAGTTTTCAGCCAGTTTGGCAAATTTCAGTTAGATTTAAACTTTTCATATGCAACATGTGTTGTGTTGTTTGAAATACTTTGCTGACTGGTCAACACATAAACAGAAAGTATTGTGATGTCAGAGTGTTGTATGGAAGGGGTTTGCAGGTCAATTTGAGAAAGCATTGTGGAAGAAAGGGGTGGTGAGAGAAGGGAACACCCTACTCCATATGGACATTGCTCCTGCCCACAGATCTCAAAATGTTCAGAAAACAATATCCCTGGACCTCTCAAAATTGAGCCCAATGGCCAATGCACCATATTGTCCAGATCTGCTCACATGTGACTTATTTATTTCTATACTACTTATTTCTATAGAGAAAGGATGCATGTTTATTGATATTGATGAAATAAAACAACGCGTGGAACTGCATCTTGCTACCATGTCAGAGAATGGATTCAGCCTTGTCTCACAATCTTGAATTAAGAGGATGAATTGTGTACATGTAGCACTTGATGGAACCTATGTAGATGGCTCTGTGGAATGAATGTGGCATGAATACCACATAGTGATGATAAAATATTCAAAATCAACTATGGCATAACAAAATGGGGTAATTCATGACCATAATGGTTTGGTTTGTTCAGCCTGCATTCTACTGCATTGCATGTTAAACAAGCTAAAATAGTTTCAGAATGTTTGACATAAATGTCGGTCCCGGGGTACCCATACATCCTTCACAGAAATAAAGATATGTCAAAAGATATTACATGTTTTGTTTTCAAATCTTCAGAGTTGATAGATAATTGATTGATGTATCACTGGTAAGAAAATCGAAGGGATTGGTCTGTGTAAAAAAGCGTCCATTACTTATTGATCACCCCTCGTATATCTGTATGTGTAATGCATGTACAACAATAGTCATAAAGTGCATAAATTCAGAAAGTGAATGTTTACTTTTTTGCTTAAAAAAATATTTTGTGCAATATAATTTTGATGTGCAAATGAATTTTTAACTAAGGCAATTCAAGCCTGAAAGCAGCATCCCACAACTGGGAAATCACTTAACCATTGATATGATACTTACCTGAATGTTTTACTTCATTTCTGAAGCTTTTAATTCCACTCATTTTTTGCATTTCCCTTCATTTCTATTTAATATAAGCCTGGGCTGTTTATCTCATTAATGAAGTCATTTAATGACTTCCTGATTGGAATCCCATGTCATTTTCTGGTTCAGATAACTTACTCAATACATGGTATACATCTTCATATGTTGCACTGTTTGGATTTACATCAGTCAGTTCAGCTCTGTCTACTTTCCATTGCCTTTAGACATTTACATTATTAACATTACCTACCTGTGCCTTTGACTTGCTTGAAATCTCAGCAAAATGTGCCACTCTGATAAACATTATTTACTTTACCTACCTGCGCCTTTGATTTGCTGGATATCTCAGCAAAGTGTGCCACTCTGATAAACATCATCCCAGGCATAATGAGGCAGATCAGAGAGCCCATTGTGGCCCCTGTCAGTCCAAGTATGAACTCAACTGTCAACGAGTAATACAAAACAATCAAATATCTCCTTTTATAGTTCTGACTGTATTATATGGTTCACATGCAGGCCCGTAGCCAGGGGGTTTGATGGGTTCGAGCGAACCAACCCTGGCCAAAAAAATATTTCAAAATCATGCAGTTTTACCATTCTGAGCACCTTTTAAGTGATTTTGGCCATTTTTGGACCAAAATTGTCACAAGTGAATCCCCCCTGGAATTTTTCAAAAAGTGATCCCCCCTTGGCAAATCCTGCCTACGGGCCTGACATGTTACATTGAATTATTTTGTGTTATCCAACCAACCAACCACCCTGTTAAAGAAATAAAGGTGAGCAAAACAAAAAATGAGGAGAGGGAAGTATGAATTTGATCCTCCTCCCCACTTCCAGAAAATCAATGAAATGGTCTTGTTACAAAATGATACCAGATACTCGAGAAGCAAATATGATGATTCCACAGAGGCCAAAGAGCTGGAAAGAATCACAGGCAGAGTTGATGAAAGAAAACATGGTCATCTCACCTACCTTTATATTCTTTTTACCTCTCACAGCCCTTCAGTCATATGTATTTGATCAATACATTTTGCAAGTGAATCTTGATCTCAATAATATGAAAGTCATGTCCTCAAACTTGGTGGCAATACACATGATATAGTGCATACATTCTTCATTATTCCAGGTACCCAAGAAATGTAATGGAATATCTCTAGAGACTGCTCCTACATATCACTTGTCACTTGCAAAATTTATTGATCACCCCACGTAAGAATAACATGATGAACAAAGCAAAACATGCATGACTTGACAATGCTTAAAGCCATCCTCAGAACACTTGGCTATCCACTCTGTTCCTTTCTCCCTTCAGGCATGGGAAAAATAAAGTGCATGTGCCTGACCCTTTCTTGTTCATTTGACATTGTTTTATGTACAGACTCATCTGAAATGCTGAAAATGCCATTGGTTATCTGTAATAATAAATTAGAAAATGAACCGACTGTAATAAAAAAAATTCAATGACAAAGAAAAGAACAGAGTGGATGTCTGGAGCCCTGTGTTCAAAGGATGAAAATGAGCAAACATAGCTTTTTATACCTGAGCTACCGATTTCCCCGTAGATTTATTGTGAGACATAACATTGATGTACATAACGGCAGGAAAGATGAAACAGATCAACGAACCCATCGTAGCACCCGTCAAGCCAAGGATAAATTCAACTGAAACAAATAAGCAAACCACACCATGCAATAAGTGTTAACATTGAATGTCAAAAACTGTACAAGTCCTCTGAAAGGAAAGGAAAATTGATTTCTGAAAATTTTTGCCTATTCAAATCACTTGTTCAAAAAGTTCTCAAAATCTTGGAAAATGGCATGATTCTGAAAGAACTTTGAGGATTATGAATTATGATTATGAATTGATTATGTATATCAGATTAACTAGGTTAACTAACTTAATTAACTAATCAGGTTAATAGACCTATTTTTTTTTCAATTCCATTCATAGACCAATATTTACACACAATTGCTAGATTTCTGCCATCTACAGTGTGTGAAAACATTTAGGGGTTTATTATTCGGATACATTCATTTCCTTAGTTTTTTTTATGAAAAAAGCATGCTCCCCACAATGGAGAAATCTTTCATGGCACCCAATGATATTGATACTTTTAAATTTTGTGACTCTATATTTGTACTTTACAACTATCTTGTATTTTACATTTTGCCTGTAGTATTTGTTTCTAACAACTAACTTATAGTATTTATAGTAAGGTTAGTTTTAGTTGTGTTTTTGAATATTGTAGATTGGAGTGGCTAATATTTAACTTGTACTGTATGACATCAGAGAGTTAACAAAAGATGTACAATGATGAATTCAAAGTTAAAAATTAAAACCTCAGATAAGAGTAAGGGCAATACATCAATAAAATGTGTCATAAATTATCTATAGTTTGTCTAATTGAGACTTACACTCCCCTCCATAAGTTTGGTAATTGGAGATCCCCTTTTGGATTACTCTTTATGTGTTTGGAGATTTAAAAGAATTTATCAAGTGCAATAATATTTTGAACTATTGTAATTAAAGTACAAAATCAAAATTGAAATATCTAAGTGCAAGTGCCGAAGGGAAAGGACCAAAAACTGTTAAGAAATCTATCAAGAAAAGCAAACTCTAAATGTAAATGCAGAAAAAATTTTAATGTCCATGCGCTGAAAAAATTTTTGCGCTCCAGAATCAAGAAATTGGACCCAAATTTGGAAAATCCAAGGCCCATTTTTGATAATCTGACATAAAAAGGCCCACTAATTGAGGCCCTACATATTTTTTGGACCTGAAATTTTTTCGGGCCCAACATTTTTTTCTAGACCCACCAAAAGGTCAACTTCCAATCACAAGGCCATTGTCATAATCCATAAAACACAACAATTCAAAATATAACAATGTATTCAAAATTCAATGCACTTAATGTCAAAAATATTGCCAGGCTTTGATATGGCTGCCAATGAAATCTTCTGGTTGCCAATCTTATAGAGGGGAGTGTAAGCAATGTTATTTTTCTAATTCAATTTTTATATCTTTTTTTAATTTATAGCCAGTTAAACTCTCTCAGGCCTCATAGTTAAAAGGTAACTGCATGCAGCGCTTCACTATAAGACAAAATGGCAATGGCAAGAGCAATATTTGATACTTCTGGAAAATACAAAGCAAAACATCCAGGTTATGCAAGACTGACAGAATTTGTTAATATCACTGCTGCGAAAGTGGACATTTTCAAAAAATACACAGAGGCACAGCCAGAAGATCATACAAAATACGTTGTGGACTTTGTCAGGTCAATATGTTCAGGTTTTGGGGAATACAATAAACTATTCAAGACCAAGGAGCCAATCCCCAGAGGCAGTTACATTGATAAAACAAAGATAATCAGTCCAACAGAGTATGACTTTCTAAATCCATTATCTCTGTCTGATGATGCCTCAGTTCAAGTGTGTGATGTAAGAGATGGCTGTAGATTGGCAGGACAGGGATATGGAGTTGTTAATATTCACCCTGGACAAGTGCAGCAACTACTGCTAGATCTTCCAGTTACAAGAGATATTTTAAATCATGAGCAACATGTTCTCATCAAGCATTTAGGAATTCCTCATTCCTCACATGATCCTGTTGGTGCTGGTGATGTCTACTGGTTGACAAAAAATATAAGATACAGACTCCGAGATGCAATGCACACCTACCTAGAGAAAACTCATGGTTCACAATATATTGGCGAGAGAGATCATAAGAAGGAACAGCACGCTAGCTACACACTAGGGGAATTCTCCATGCATGATATGCTACATGGCCCTAGTGTGTGGCTTAGGGTTGGGGGACCATTAGGCACCACAGATATAGATCTCTGTTTCTGTGTACAGGGAACACAGGGATCTGTATTGGTACCTGCATATGTAGGGGATTGTAAGGATTGTCCTTATGCTATCCACTGGACTGAATCAATAGTGCAGACTCCACACCCAGCACCTGATCACCAGTTACACAATCCTACTGGACATCATAGACAGCTTTTCCTTGTATTGAAATACATTTCACATCTGTGTAACAGGATCCACTGGCATATCTACAATGAGCACCCAAAGTATGGTCTCATCTCATCCTACTCATACAAACTGCTCATCATGAATCATCAGAAACATTGCACAGGATCTGACTTTAATGTAGGAAGATGTTTTGAAGATGTAGTAGAATACATATTCAATCAATTTAGAGGAGATGATGATGATTCAGATCAATACAGACTAAAGGTTGATCACATTTTTCTACCAGATACATACTACCCTGATAGGGAGGTGAGGGTTGTGGATGGTATAGGCAATAGTTTGGAACTGACTGTACTATTGTGGGTGTTGAAACATGTCAAACACAGCAGTGGCACACTATGGTGGCAGAAACTACTAGATGATGACTTCCCAAACAATGTCTCAAGTGGTGATGTTTTATTACAATCCTTGTTAGATTCAGTCAAACATGTGCGGGATGCATTTCCACATGGAGTGAACCTAGATTGGCAGCATGAGGATGGCACAAGGACACATTTCACAATCACCTGGTATTAAATGTCTAACATCACCAGAACATTGAAGTGAATTATATAAACACAGAACTTGAATTATTTCATTAAACACAGACATGCATTTAATATTAAACAACATAATGCATCAATTTAAGAACACCCATCAGTTATTTTTTGGATAAATCAAAGCACATATACTCTCATAATTGTCTATATTTTTAAGGAGTTTTGCTCAAAAATTGATCTCGATGTACTAATACTGTAAATACTATAGGATCAACATCCAGTTCAGAAATTGAAAAGACCAATTGACAAATGAATTGTAAAATATACAAATAAATTATAAAATGTACAAATGAATCGTAAAATATACAAATGAATCATAAAATGTACAAATAAATTGTAAAATGTACAAATAAATTGTAAAATGTCAAACCAGTGATGTTTGTATAGATTTCCTTCAATGTTTCATGGTAGTTTCATTTTAATGAAATTTTCTTTTATTCATTTAATCTTTTTCATTGTTATAATTTATGAAGATAAATTTCATGTAACTAAAGTCAAAAATGTTTTTATTTTAAATGATCAGTAAAATTCATTATTGCTTTCACTCTTTAAAAAGGATTAAGGATTGTTATGAAAGCAAAACAAAATAAAGCCACCTCCAAAACTTCACAAAAGTTCATGCAAAAAAATCCCTTTCCAATAAAAAATGCATGTATTATTATTAATATTTTTGATGTACATATATCTCAATATACAGATTTACTCACATAACTGATTAATATTAATATGCATATGTACATTAATGAGAAATGTATTTAACTTAGGAAATAATCTGTTAATGACATCATATACATCATCATACATCATATACAGATAATGAAATTATGGAACTAAAACTACAAAATTAATTTCAAGATATAAGAGAATACATGTAGTTGATTTATATGATTGCATTTCTCCAAATGTGCATCTCTAAACTAAAGGTACATTTCTAAAGGTGCATCTCCAAAGATGCATCTACAAATCAGCCATCCGCAATTAGATGTCTACCTCAAAACCTTTCAATATTGAAGTTTTATTTCCATGTATTCTGATTACTTACTGTTTGGCACCAGTATTCCAATTATAAGCGTCCCAATCACAATGCAAACTGTAATTGCTTTGAAATGGAGATCAGGAATGACATGGCTGCCAGATTTCTGTAATAATAAGCATGGGTCAATATAGCATTTTCATATGTTATAGCTTTGAAATGGAGGTCAGGAATGACATGGCTGCCAGATTTCTGAAATAATAAGCATGGGTCAATATAGCATTTTCGTATGTTATAGCTTTGAAATGGAGGTCAGGAATGACATGGCTGCCAGATTTCCGAAATAATAAGCATGGGTCAATATAGCATTTTCCATGTAATAAATAATAAAGGATCTTCATATGTAATTTACAAACACTTCAAAGGTCAGTATGATTACAAATTGCCATTGCTTAACAAATGTTTTGAAAAAAGCAAGGAGGGATGGATATGGTTCAAAATTGGTTTAATTTTATGGAATCATATTAAGGCAATGATAAACAAAATCGACATGAGAGTTAAAAGTCAATAAAATCAAAATCTTGAATATCAAAGGTCAGGGTCAAAATCGAGATCAAATTTTTCATTTTCACAAATTTTCTATTTCATCTATATCTTTCAAAATTCTTGCAATAAATTAATTTCAACATTACATTTTGTCATTAAAATCAGTGGTCAAAGTCCATGATAAAAAGTCTGATGTCTGGAGTTTTGAGCTTGTTCAATTTTACCAATCTACATGTACTTATCTTTTAGAAGGAGAAATGATTAATACTGGATTCTACCACAACCGCCATCTTTAAATTGGCCCAAAACGCATATAAGGATGGTATTCAAGAACTGCTGCACAGTGCTCAATACAAGGTTCTTATTCTATACTATCTAGGCTTGCTAGCCAAATGTTCAGAATGTGCTTGCAAAGAGGAATTTTGGCCAATTGGTTAGAAAGCCATGAAATGCACTTTGGCTGACATCGTAAGCATAAAAGTCTGTAATTACCTGTGCCTACCTTAAACCCCATTCTGACTTCTGTAATTACATATGCCCACCTGAAACCCCATTCTGACTTCTGTAACTACCTGTGCCCACCTTAAACCCCATTCTGACTTCTGTACTTACATATGCCCACCTGAAACCCCATTCTGACTTCTGTAACTACCTGTGCCCACCTTAAACCCCATTCTGACTTCTGTACTTACATGTGCCCACCTTAAACCCCATTCTGACTTCTGTAACTACCTGTGCCCACCTTAAACCCCATTCTGACTTCTGTAACTACCTGTGCCCACCTTAAACCCCATTCTGACTTCTGTACTTACATGTGCCCACCTTAAACCCCATTCTGACTTCTGTACTTAAATGTGCCCACCTTAAACCCCATTCTGACCTCTGTAACTACCTGTGCCACCTTAAACCCCATTCTGACTTCTGTACTTACATGTGCCCACCTTAAACCCCATTCTGACTTCTGTAATTACCTGTGCCACCTTAAACCCCATTCTGACTTCTGTACTTAAATGTGCCCACCTTAAACCCCATTCTGACCTCTGTAACTACCTGTGCCACCTTAAACCCCATTCTGACTTCTGTACTTACATGTGCCCACCTTAAACCCCATTCTGACTTCTGTAATTACCTGTGCCACCTTAAACCCCATTCTGACTTCTGTACTTACATGTGCGAAAAACAGTGTGTATAAACTGGCCCTACATGGAAAGATCACCAATGGGAAACTAACTGCGATGGAGAGGACGAAGCCAAACTTGATAGAATCGCTAAATATCCCTGGCTTAAAGCTGACCAGTACATCCCCAGATAAATTCTGATCATAGAATGCTATATAGCCAAAGAAGCCAACCTGTAAATACAAAATGTTTTTTAATTAATATGTATTCACTTCAAACTGCTTTTTCAATTCTAATGAAGTAGAGCATTCCTGAATCTTCAACTTTTAACAACTTCTAAGTTTTACCATTTCTATCCCACTTTAACAATATAATCTATAATTACCAGATAATAACTTATAAACAAGTATGCAGATGTACACATGTTGATGGCACTGCCACTGATAGAGTTATAACAAGGTATTAACATGACAAAATGTCACCACCTAGTTGCTCACAATACTATGAGTTCAATCTTTCTTTAGTCAGATTTGAATTTCTGAGAACTTGCAGATGATTTAAAAAAAATTGGTCAATTTGAAGCAAGTTGAAAAAGACCTTTTTTGCCCTGAGAAGGTCATTGAAGGTGACGTCTTTTTTTTACCTTGAGAATGTTATTGAATGTCAAATCTTTAGTCAGATTTGAACTTGTGATAACTTGTAGATGATTTTTAAAACAAATTGGTCAATTTGAAGCAAGTTGAAAAAGACCTTTTTGACCCTTTTTGACAAGGTTGAAAAGGTTAATGAAGGTCAAATCTAAAATCTAAAGTCAGATTTGAACTTCTGAAAACTTGTAGATGATTTTGAAAAAAAACTGAATTCAGTCTTGTATGTTAAGTTATTGGAAGTTGTTAGAATTTGTTACAGACGCCAACCACCGATCGCCAACCACCGATCACCAACCACCGATCGCCAACCTCTGCCACAAAAAATGGAGACCATAACAATATGTCACCACTTTTTTGTGGTGACATAATAACTAGATAATAACTTACAAACAAGTATGCAGATGTACACATATTGATAGCACTGCCGATGATAGAGTTCATCCTGCTCAAGGAGGGCTCTGGGAGTGCATCATACATAACAAACAATTGCCTGAAACACAAAAAAAAAAATATATATGTACGAGGGGTGACTCAAAAGTTTCAATTTCTAGATCAGTTTACCTGATATTTGGACACAAGTTAGTACTCTGGAGAGATGTACATTTGTACTTATGTATAGCGAACAAATATCAGAAAATTCCATAGAAATAATTTTTCGGGTATATTCTTTTATTACTATACTTAGTGATAAAAAGTAGCTTAAATAATAATTTTTAATTTGAATGAGTATTTTCTTTAAATTAATATGTATATGTTTTAAGGATATAATTCTATAAGTATAATTAGTGTGCTGTTAAGACTTGTTGACCCTTAAAGGTATACTGTGCCAACTGCACCCTTAAAGGTATACTGTGCCAACTGCACCCTTAAAGGTATACTGTGCCAACTGCACCCTTAAAGGTATACTGTGCCAACTGCACCCTTAAAGGTATACTGTGCCAACTGCACCCTTAAAGGTATACTGTGCCAACTGCACCCTACTATAATTTAATGCTGTCAAGCCAGCAGGTTTAAAGTGAAATACAGCTTTATTGTAAAGGTACACAATTTATACAGCTGACCTCAGTGAATACAAGTCAACAAGTGTATGTCAAAAAGTAGTCACGAGGTAGATCACGAGGAAGAATTGTCTACCTCCAATGTACCAATAAGAAAAAAATACATACTGACTTTTATAATATGTGCAAATCAAGCAAGAAGCATGTCCAAAGAAATTAATTTAGACTAAAATTGAAAGAACTTTCACCTTTCTATTGACACGGACTTGAAATTCAGTTTGAATACATGGTTAGAAAATGAATTAAAAAATAAACATTAAACAGTGAATACAATAAACCACACCACACCATTATAAAGTCATTCAATGCTAAAGAAATCATCAAAATGACAGACAGTTATTTGTAAACTTCAAAAACTGATTTGTAATCTGATTGGTCAGATAAATGAGTAATACACCAGTCAAAGGTTTGTGCGAGAGAAGATTGGGGATTTGATATGCAGTACTGTCCCAGGAGTGGGATCTTGACATGAAGCTTTGTCCAGGGAGTAGGGATTTTGATTATTCCTGTCAGGGTGGGGAAATTAACTCACTAAGTTACTCCAAGGGTAGGAGCTTTGACAGCTTAAATCTTATCAAAATCTCCAACACTTCTCATATGGGGAGTCTCACTCAAACCTTTGAATGGTGTGTAAGCATCTCTTGACCAATCAGATTTCCTGGAGCCAGTTTCATGATATTCATTGGAGAAGATATAAACACAAATCATTATTCACAAAATCTTGTACACCAGTGTGTTACACTTAACTTAGTTCAATGTGAAAATATTGTGAATCAATTTTCAAAATGTGCATAATTGTGTTCAACTAGGTCAATGAAGTAATATAACAATGAGTGACAACTACCTAAGATCAATCGTTTCTCAATAAACAAAAAATATAAGGTAAGGTATAATGGCAGGTAAGTGGTGATGTTTGAAATGATTCAGGGGTGGAAAAGAGTTGATAAAATACCAAAAGGATCTCATTTTACTTGTAGTTTAAGAGAAATAGCAAAAGCACTTCTTGCCTGTGTACTTTATTCCTTGATAATTCCTCTAGTTACTCTCTAAAATTGTTATGAAGTCTCTACATGTAACTTTCTGGCACTTCTAGTCTTCTATAGAGTTTTGAGCATTAACTTTTCTTTTCCTTTTCTCATTCATTTCACTCTTTCCATTCTATTTCACAAGGGTTTCATTAGCAGCAGGTAACAGGCAATTTTCACCAGTTTGCTTTTAATTGTTTTCACAATAAAATTAGTCTCCAAAAGAGGGGGGAATATCCCAGAATTAAAGGATAAACCTTTCTCTAATAAAAAGCTCATCTTCACAGTGTGCGTAGAGATGAATCTATGAATTCTGGTATATTTCCTCCTTTCTTTGTTTCTGAATATTTTGCCAACTGTTTTCATTAATTTTGACTGTCCTCAAAATGCTAACGAAACCCCTTGAACATGACCTTTTGGATGTGACATTCACAGTTGCCATAGAATACATTCACTTGTTCACAGATTGACTTACGTTTGGCATCCAAATGCCATAGAGAAGATGGGGAGACACACAAAGATGCCTTGGGGTTTCCAGATCTCAACTCGTTCAAACCAGGAGGCATCTATGAGGTTGGGGAAAGCAGTCATAAATACCTGCAAGCACAGGGGGAGGCACCTTATGACTATGATCTAAGGATAGAGGGTGGGGGGTGGGGAACACTTCCTATGATCTAGGGGCAGGGGTAGGCTCCATATGGCTATGTTCTAAGGATGGGGGTTGATATAAGGATCACTTCCCATCGTCTAGTAGTAAAGGCCAGCTGCTTTTAAATAAAAGTACTTGGGGGAGGGGGTATATATGTTGACCTCTACTTATGCTTTAAGTGATAGGCATCATAGGGATCACTGGGGTTGAAATAATGGAGGCACAACTGAGTCAAAGTGGGGAAAGAGGCAATAAGGGTGAAGGGAGGGTAGAAATTAGAAATTGGTCAGTACAGAGAGGAGCAAAACTTCTTTTGACAAAATTTAAAGAAGAAATACAGACAGAGGCTGTCTCGTCTATGACCATATTTTCAGTAGGTGGGCAAAGATTTCATTTACTTAACTTTGTTATTGGATGTTGATGTTAACAAGGACAAAGTAGGACAAAGGCAATGGGATTGATTCTCAAAAAGAGTTATGGGGAGGATTTCTACACACCAGGTTCGGTGGTACATGTATATAATGATTCTATATGTTGTCCAGTAAGTTCATCTGCTGTTGTAAACCTTTGGGAGAAAATGTGGCTGTCAAGGCTTTATTCTTGGTGTGGTGCAGTCGTGTTAAACATGTATATTATTACACAGCCGCAAGCCACAATGCTAGATAATGCTATGCTTCATAAGTATAGGTCAAAATAGAACATGCATTTTATTATTTTAGTGAGAGCATGTTACTGCAAACAGTTAAGATGAGAATATTATAATTAATGTATAACATGCCAGCATAGAGGATGTCAATGTATAACATGTCAACATGGAAAATGTCAGTGTATTACATGTCAGCATGAAGGATATCAATGTATGACATGACAACATGGAGGATGTCAATGTATAATGTGACTTAAAATTAATGTTTTCTCAAATCTGACTACGTGTACATTGTGCTTCAATGAAATTTATACACATGCGCGCACAGTCACATTAGTAAGAATCAGGTTTAAAAGATGTCGCTATTAAACATTATTTACTCTGTATAATTTGAAGATACATCTGAATCCGAAATAACTGAACTTTAACTTACAAGAGTCTATCAAAGTAAACTTATACATCAAGACAACATGCATATTTAAATTAAATGAATGCTGAACAACATTTTAAAAGAAAGCATGTGATTAAATATATCCACCCATATCAATCAGAAGAAACATCTGCACTTGACAGAAACTTAATAATAACCAGTATGGCAATTAAGCCACTATTCAGTTCAAATGTCAAATTTGTGTAAGCATGTTAGAAACAATCAATAATTTGATGGTAAATAAATCATATAAAAATGTACATGTAAACTGAAAAAATCTTGCCCGCTGTTGTGCTCTGTTCTAAGAAACTACTTAATGGATGGGTTGTGAAGAAAACTTAAGTACCAGAGGTTCGATATGGCTGGGCAGAATCATGGATTTGGGTTGGGCACCCGAAAGAAAGCATCATATAAGAGATCTAAAATTCACGGACCAAAATAACCAGGGTTTAATCGGTCCCCCTTTAAATAGAGGGAGAGCCTGTGTCAGGCCCGTAGCCAGAATTTTCCAAGGGGGGTTCACTTTTCCACTTTAAATCTAGGTTGATTCCCCTTTAATTTTCTTTGGTCCAAAGGGCCCCGTTTGTTCAAAAATTCATATCAATCACAATGCCTTATTTCAAATTTCCTTTTATATTGGTGGTCATCTAAAAAATCAGTCAAGTTGTCAAAATAGGTCAAACTTCACCAAATATGGCTTCTTGGACAAATGGGAAAAATCTAGAAAGTACTAGTAATGAGGACAAAAAATTAACACAGGCAGGCTGACATGCAAGCAGATAGGAGCTGGCTTATGCTTAATACAGCACGCATGCTATGTACTACTTGCATTCACATGCAAGCATTTATATCGTGCAAGCATTTCAGGGTTGTTAAAACACTGAAAGAGAATACATACAATAAAACCTATTTCAGTAAAGACATTTCAATAAACTCTGTTCACTAGACACAGGTTTTGCTATATGCAACTCATTAGGGGCAGATAATTGAAAACATGCAACAGTGTTGATAATGTCATTTCTGCACAATTCAATTTGTAAATAGTCAGTTTGTATTCTGAATTATCAACATTTGCATTTGTTCTTGTTTTCAATCTTCAGAATGCTAGTAGAAAAAATCTCTCAATGTCAAATGGTCAAGGGTTGTTGCACATTTGTTAAGCTGCAGGAGATATTAACTATATCTACTGCATATGTTAATTACAGCTGCATTAAATATATCAACAGCTGCTGCAGATGTTGATTAAGCTATGTATGATATTAACATCTGCTGGTGTTAATCAAACTACATGTGCAGATGTCAACTACAGCAGTTGTCATTATTTCATCCAGTACAACTATTGCAGATGTTAACTAAATCCAGATGTGAAATGTTTCTTACGGCTGACATGCCAATGATAACGCAAATATGGGCAGACATGCAAACACGCCAGCGGGTCGCCACGCATTGATGCTGTCCCACCAGGTTCCACTTATGATGTTTGGCAAAGCTACAATAAACACCTAAAGCAGAAAATATTTAATCAACTTTAAAAAATGAATTCATCTGATGCTGAAATACCTTTATTTTGAAAATTTTGAAATTTCTAAAAACAACTGGTAATTTGCAATATCAATACAATTTGATGACAGCTTGAATGAAGACAAGTTTGTTAAAAAGCTGCATGACATTTCAGTTTAAATTAGAAAAGGATATTCTCACTTTTTCAATTTTTAAAAGGTGAATAATTTACTGAATACCATGTACCATTTTTCTCTTTCATAGTTTCAGAAAAATATTTGTATCAAGGTATTTTGAAGGAGCATTTGATTACTTAATCTGAAATTATTAAATTTACCATATTCTGCACCTTCGTTTATAACAGGTTGAATCAGACGAAGAGTTCTTGTATGTGCATTTTCAAAATGTAACAATATTAAATTTTTTGAGCTCAAATCATTTTATTCATAATGCTTTTTTCTTTAACAATTCAAAAGATTATGAACTGAATTGTTTGGTGGGAATCTTGCACCATCTTTATACCATTCTAACGATTCTACAGTATATTCTATATATAAACATATGTACACAAAATAGAACTATAAGCATGTTAGTAGTACCATCACTGTACATTAAACTGAACATTCCAAAATATACTTAGTTATAAAAAAGATTGTATTTGTTGACGAGAAAAACATGTATTATGATATTTCATCAATAGTTCCAGTATTCTGTAATGGGGTTATACATAAGACATCTCCAAAATCTGTTTGATAGATTACTATATAAAGTTTTAACTTTTACTTTAAAACATTTTATCTCTACATAAATGGCATATCATATACAGGGTGTCAAAAAAGAATGGCATCCCCTCAAATGTAAAATATATGACAAATGCCAACCATGTACATGGTGTCCACAAAGTCTCTTTAAACTTCATACAGACTATGTATTGTAATTGTAAATAGATTTTACAGACAACCTGTACATCACTGTAAATACAATTTAATTATTTATATATATTTGAATTAACTTCCTACCTCTGCAATGAAGATTGTGTAGAACCCAAGGGATATTGCACTAATGTTGCTCAGGCTTTCGACACTTCGTAACAAACCAAGAGGCAAAGCAACACAGAGTCCAAGGCACACCATTAGTGAGGTACGTAATGTTGATGTGTTCTGAAAAAAAATTAGGAAGGTTTGAAAGTATCAAAGTTAGTAATTGAAAAAATAAATCATTTTTTGATGATGCATAAAATATTTACATCAAAAAATTCCTTCTCAAATTCAGTATGTCATTTACCTTCATATTTTGAAAGCTATGCTTATTTTAAGACATACGAATACTTAGAACCAAAAGGTGACACAAAGATCCAATAGTAACATCAAGCCCTTAAGGCTAACCCATTAACATCAGGCCCAAACGGTGATACCAAGATGACAAGCATCAGGCCCAAACGGTAACACCAAGACGATAAGGATAACATCAGGCCCAAACAGTGACACCAATACCATAATACACCAAGACCATAAGAATAACATCAGGCCAAAACAGTGACACCAATACCATAATACACCAAGACCATAAGAATAACATCAGGCCAAAACAGTGACACCAATACCATAATACACCAAGACCATAAGAATAACATCAGGCCAAAACAGTGACACCAATACCATGAGACACCAAGACCATAAGGATAACATCAGGCCCAAAATGTTGACACCAAGACCACGATGATAACATCAGGCCCAAAGAATGACGCTTAAAGCTCAAAGGTCTTTAGTACAGGGTGACAGACATAAAACATTAATTTGACTTACATTTCATCATAAACCATGACTAGGTCATTCAACATTCCTCTTCCCTCCTACATAGGTACTATCTATGTACAAATATGCTTTGCCTACTTGACAACAAAACCCTCTAAATTGAACATTTATACAAAGTTATCTTTAAAATGATTCATGTTCATTGTATCAAAAGTATCGATGTAGTGAAGGTAAACATTATAGTTTCACTGTAGAAAACTAGCACTGCAAAAGTATTGCGAATCAAATATGACTTTTGGCAGCCATTTAAAAATTAAACTGGAATCACTCTAATAACCTTTTCTTGAAGACTTTTTATAGTGAACATCTAGGAACCCTTTTACCTACAGGAAACACTGGTTTATGAACACTTCCTCTATAGCACTAACAACCCATTAAAGAACACTTTTCTCACTTTAAGTAAACACCTGTTTAATGACCATATATGCGAGGCAGGTGTTCATTTACAAGTGTGCAATTTCACCAAATCAGACCAACCTCATATTTTATCTCAGTTCCAGATATATTCACTCGCAAAATCCAACCTGTGTCCTGAGCAGAATCAAATCAAAAACTTGATAGTAATTCATTCATGAAAAGTTCTTCAAAAAGATAAGTTAACATAATATGTGATTTAGCTTTTTTCCGATCCTTTCACAGTTTATAAGCTATCATATTCTGTGAATATTTGAAAAATCTACAAATTTTCGATTTAAACGAAATGAATAATTTCATATTCATTGGAAATGTATTTACACCACACTAACATCATACTGATATACCTAAGTGATGTTACTTGTATCTGTAAAACACCATCTTTTTAGGGAATGCATAGTAATTTAGTTTAAGTTACATCTAGGGTACCCTAATCTTCAAGGGTAAACTTACCTCTAAGCCAGTAAATTTAGAGACAATGGCAGGCCCAAGGTCTCCTATAATGACATGGAATGCAATACACGTCCCAAGTAGAAGACCGATTATGCTGAGTTCTACTAGAAGTTTACCCCCAGGGCCAAATGTATGCAGAGCTGAAACACATAGGATATGGAATCTATTTCATGAAAGCTAGTTACTCAAAAACATTAGAAGGAAATAACAGAGGATAAGTACATTATGAAATTCTTATATCCTAAGGAATTTAAGATAATCGATATCTTTTATATGAGAAGCGTATGGTAAATAGAAGTGAATATGGAATTTACACCATAAGAATGGGAGATAAATATGTACATTGGACATTGGAGTTTTTATTAATTTACTACAGTATTATCATGTATTTTTGCAAATTTAGAGTCAAATTAGAAGAAACCCTAGTCCCTACATGGAGGTCCTTTAAAAAATCTGCTTAACTGTCAATCAACCTGTGGTCGCCTAACTTACCTAAGTATTCGTAAGATCTTTTCTTTGAGGTGAGGGCTGCCTTCATGAGTAATTTACATGCTATCTGTGTCAACCATGCACTTGTAAGTAAGAGCAGAATTCCAAGGACAACACCACACTAAAAATAAGATTACAATAAACTAGTTGTTTTAGCTGCCTTCATGAGTAATTTACATGCTATCTGGGTCAACCATGCACTTGTAAGTAAGAGCAGAATCCCAAGGACAACACCACACTACAAATAAGATTACAATAAATTAGTTGTTTTAGCTGCCTTCATGAGTAATTTACATGCTATCTGGGTCAACCATGCACTCGTAAGTAAGAGCAGAATTCCAAGGACAACACCACACTACAAATAAGATTACAATAAATTAGTTGTTTTAGCTGCCTTCATGAGTAGATTACATGCTATCTGAGTCAACCATGCACTCGTAAGTAAGAGCAGAATCCCAAGGACAACACCACACTAGAAATAAGTTTACAATAATTAAGTTGTCTGAGCACCTTGGACTGCTTGAAGTACTGAGTGTTACCTTAGAAACAGAAAATGTACAAACTGGAAATATTTAAAATTCTTCATTGAATAATCTAGAGGATAAAGAACTTAGTAAGGATTGATGCCTTACCATTCCTTGTTATAAAACAGAAGAGCTTTATTTTTCCTATATCTGTTTCTAACAGAATGACAATACATGTAGCTGTAAACCCAATTTGTTAGCTGTTTTTAAAAACTAAAAAACATAATTTTTCTAACCTTATATAACAGAGAGGTGTTAACATATTTTCTTACCTGTTTAAAACAGAAGGGCATTGCCAGCACACTGACTCCTATAATGCTATTGCCCAGGTTGATGATATACGGCCAATTCTGCTGGTGGCCCATTTCGCTGGCTTCCGTATCAATGATGGCGGAGTGTGAAAAACAACACAAATGGGTCTTTAATCCTCTCGAGTATTTCTCAGTCTATTTACCCCTGAAGGGTTATTCTTTTCACAGACAATTCTTTGTTAGGTAATTTCCTTGATTTAGTAATTTCGCTATCAGGTAATTCTTGTGTCAGGTAATTCACTTGATTTAGTAGTTCCTCTATTACATAATAATTGTGGATGATGAATACTGTACTCCGGGTATTGTTCGCGTGCGATTTAATTTCGCTTTGTTCGCGAATGTAGTAAACTCGCGAACATTTATCGTCACGAAATTTGTCATTTAAATCCCCAGGGATTTGCTCCGGGCCTTTTGATATGTTTCGTTCGGTGTAAAACGTTTCTTCCAATGTTTTTTGGCGATCTCAAAAAAGGCCTTAAACATTTTGAATTGGCTTATTAGGCCAACAAAGGCAAGAACTATTGACGACAATGATATGCTACAAATTGAAGTTGAAAAAGCCATTCAAGAATATTCAAACAAATGCCCTTAACGTGAAATACAAACATTATTCGGATTCTGAACGGGCTAAAATAGCCCACATTGATTCACGGTAATCGGAAAAAATTCAACTTGTGCAATCTGCGAGATGTCATAAACTCAAATCCGCGAAATTAAATAGCCGCAAAATTGCAATTTTGAAAAATCGCGAAATTTTATAGCGTCGAAATTTACCCGGAGTACAGTAATTCTTCTCTTGATGATTCTTAGTCTGTTTCTATACCCTGTTAATAAGGTCAATAAACAGTAACACTATTCTAACAGCTCTTTATGCATGAGTGAATAACTAAAAAATAACACAATAATTTAACGTAAGCAATCAGTTCAATATCCTGTAAGTCTAGTGTATACAAGTCCTGACTTCGGTATTTGGTGGGATGTATTCAGTACAAGCATTCGATAAACCTCTTAGATAAGCATCTTGGATTTTTTTGAATCAGCGATCACGATTTGTGAAGCTGAAAATTATAGTAAGGCAAATGTTTAGCATTTAGAATGGAGCAAAACATGTACAGACTTGGCTGTCTCATTGAGCCACATTGGTTTTCAACATGATACTTCGGGCGGTGATTACAATTTCCTAATTTGTCTTTACTATTTGAACATCTAATTTATTGTATATAATGACGCTAATTTGCCAAGTGTCTTAGTGTGAGCTTGCCTTCATCCTCTTACCCTGCGTGCAGAGTCTAGTTAAACTACACTCTGCCTAGGAGAGACCATATTATAGTTTAGTAGCTCCGCCCCCACGACGGGTACTGGTGACAGTTTGGGTAATAAATCACTTCTGACCTACGCGCTCACCTTTCTTCCACCAACCAGCGAGCTTGAGGAAACATACGCCAAATACGTTCTAATTAAATATGCGCATGTCATTGGTCAATTCCGGGCTCAACGATGACGTCAGAAGGAATGACCATATATAGAACGTCGGTCAAATTTGGCCGACGAACACTGATTGGCGCGGTGAGTTCACAGGTTAATCTTAGTTTGAAAGAGTGAAGACGAAGCTCTCTTTTAAGAAGTGAAGTCAAACGAATGCAAAGGGTATCATCCTCTATTCATGTCAAAAAAACTCAAATAAAAAAATATTGAAAACATTTAAAAAATTTCATTATTCACAAATTCCTCTGAATCTTACAATGACTCACCATTAAAATAATTATCCATACATTCAAGAACAAAGAGTATACATGTTTAATTGAGATCAAATGCATATTCACCTGGTTGTTGCAGCTTTTTACCAACAACAATATTTTTCAAAGTTCCTTTTGAAATGACGACGTGTAAATAAAAGCGACATCTGTAGAGTAAATAAGCGAACGTGTCCCTTAGTTTACAAGTTTACGTGAGAAAAATGAGGTTTGTGATCATTTTTTTCAACATACCATGTTATTTAAAACAAATATCAAAATTTACTATGAAATTACGTGAAATTTACTTTCTTTATATTGATCTATTCAACAGATGAGTAAAACTCCCAATTTTAATTTGTTCGTGATTCCGACGCATTTCTTCAGTCCGGGATAAACTTTGACCTACTTCGAAAAATGACACATGCTATCTATTGCAAGACTTACGCCTGCCACAACCGTCACAATGTTAATAAGTGTTTTTAAGTAGCGCAAGGATCCTGCCATGACCGTGGTAGTGTTATTGTGTAAGCCTGGTATAACCGTGACAGGCTGGTATAACCGTGACAATGCTGTATTATATTGCAAGGCCTGTCATGACCCTGGAAGTGTTATCGTGGAAGCCTGGCGCGACCGTAGCCTTTATTGTGGTTTATAAGCGAATGTGAATATTAATGAATAGTAGTAATTTTGATTTTGACATGATTAAGGTAGTTAAACACCATGATCATAGTATTAAACTGTTTAGTTGAAATGCGGATCACATAAAATTGTTAAGGATATTCCTGGCATTATGTCATACATATTTACTAGTCATTGCAATACAATATAACGGTCATAGTAGGACTAAGCCTAAATTTCTACATTACCACCCTCATACCTGGCCTTGCAATACTATATTACATTATTACGGTCATACCAGGCTTTGCGATCCCATAATACATTGCCACGGTCATGCCAGGTTTTCAAAAACACATTGTCATGGTCACTTATAGCAAATCATAAATTTCTATATTACCACTCTCATACCCGAACTTAGAATATTATATCACATTGCCACGGCGGTCATACCAAGCCTTGCAATACTATATTACATTGTCACGGCCATGTCAGGCCTTGCAGTACTATATTACATTGCCACGGTCATGCCAGGCCTTGCAATACACATTGTCACGGTTATAGCAGTCCTAATCGTAAATTTCTACATTACCACTCTCATACCTGAACTTGCAATACTATATTACATTGTCACGGTCATGCCAGCGCCTTGCAGTACTATATTACATTGTCACGGTCATACCGAGCCTTGTAGAACTATATTACATTATCACGGTCATGGCAGGCATTGCAATATAATACAGCATCGTCGCGGTTATACCAGGCTTTCACGATAACATTACCACGGTCATGGCAGGATCCTTGCGCTACTTAAAAAACACTGAATAACATGATGACGGTTACGCCAGGCGTTAGTCTTGCAACAGATACGGTCTCAAAAATGAGCGAAATTTTAACAAATTCCAATAAAAACGCTTGTATGCCAGTAAATCTAGCAATGGTGGCTCCAAAAGTCAGTTCTCGAAATAGTGAACGATCTGATGCTGGATCGGAAGGTGATATTGAGCTGGGAATAGGTCAACATTATCTCGTACAGCGGTCAGACAATACATGGCGTAAGAAATTCTTTGTTTTTTTAACTTTTCTGAGAATTATTCAAATGTCTTTCCACTATGCGATATGCTAAAACTATTCTAGGTATTGGTATCCATAGGTTACATAGTCCAACAATGTGAGACCTAGTCTGGAGCCTCATTTCTTATCTGACATGTTTTATGGCCCTCCACAGGTATTCTGCCTATTACGCGGAAAGTTAATTGTTCTGCTTGTTCGATAAGCTGGGGATTGAAAGAAATCAACTCCAAAATAGTGCTTAGGTTCAAAAATATATATTTTTACTGAAATTTGGATAATTTAGCACAGGACTATCTCTTATCCCGTACCGAGCCCAATCTTTTGCCTGTACGATTACAACTTGGGAGAATTATCTACGCCCCTTACACTTAAGATACCTACTTCAATAGATTCCTTGGTATTTTAGCATTATTTTCATGTAGTTGAATCCACAATTGTCTGGGTTTATCGGCAGAACGAAGAAATTTTCGTTTTTTAATCGTAATATTTGTGTGTTATATTTAAGGTCAGGGTGCATGATGGGAAATTTTCTGCATTCCTCAATTGAGTCACATGTTATTTTTCAAACAAGAATCACTCCTTCCCCACATTGTCTATATCTTCCAGATTTGCACAAAGGGTGCACTTATTAGTTCAACGTCGTTAAACTCAATAACGACGTTCTTTACTATTAGGAATTTTCTTGGGGCCGTTATTGAGTTTAACCTCTTTACTATTCTTTCCTTTGATGCAAGTTCTGGATCCATCGAAACCATTTTGCCGCGATAACATGCAATTGATATAAAAACACATAACATCAAGCAATTGAACACAATATTATTGTGTTAAATGTTCATTTATACTCGTAAAATGAGGCTACACTTACCGATCTCCAAAATGACATTTCCGTATGTCCGTCATTGTGTCTGTTTGTCCGAGTGTCCCGGATCATAAAATTAAACTACTAGCGAAACGAAATTGTTGTCAAATAGATTGATAATTATTATCGCGATTACTCGCATTAAAAGATAAATTTTGAGGATAACAGGTATCTTTGATTGATTTATATAGCGCGTGTATACACGCAAAATAGTTATTAATTGCAAACCTACTGTTTGTAAATGCAGTGCCGCGATGACGGTTAATTTCTGATACGATTTGCAATTTCGATGTTACCGAAACTGACCGACATTTTCGTTTTATTCCAAACCTGTCTCCAATATTTTCGTAATTATGTATCAATAGGGTCTAAGGGGGATACTGGATGGTGTTTATGTATTCATAAGGTATGTATGTATGCTTGAATCACATTCTTTCTGTAATATTACCATGGTTTCAGGGTTTAATTAGTTCCGCTTGTCGAAACCTGCGGAACGATTAAATTAACGCATCAAGGGTAAAATGATCATGGAGGTTAGACCTAGCCGGAGCCATAAGACATGTCAGATAAGAAATGAGGTCCAGGCTAGGTCTAATGTTGTTGGACTATGCACTTATATGCCTAGAAAAGACTTGTGAGAAGAATGTTTTGATAAAGTGTATAAAAAACTTTAGAAAATTTAGTGAAAAAAATCAGAATATTTTCAGAATTTTTTTTCACTGAATTTTCTCATTTTGTATACATTTTACAAAACAAACCTTCTCACAAGGCTTTTCTGGGCACATAAGTGCACTCTTTGTGCAAACTTGGAAGATGTAGACAATGTGAGGAAGGAGTTATTCTTGTTTGAAAAATAACATGTGACTCAATTGAGGAATGCAGAAAATTTCCCAACATGCACCCTGTCCTTAACTTATATCAACTGTCAAATTCCTCCATTTATTGGTACTTCCGGGCCAGTCAAACGGGGAATCCCCTCTTAAATCCAACTGCCATCTTGAAAAGTGATGGAATCTCTATTGATCAAAAAAAAGCATTTGAAGTTAAAAGATCTTTAGACATCCATGCTCATGTTAAACAAAGTCCATGTTTTAAATTACTTTTGATTTAAAAGATGGCGACACTTCTATAAAAATGAATGTATCATGTAATACATACAACTGTGCCATCTTTTAATGACATTGATAAAATCCTGATATATAAAGCTTGACAGATGGAAAATATTTTTTAATAATTTATTGTAAGCTAATATATGGTCCATTTGAGCTGTTGTTGGTGTCAAATGAAAGGTTGTTATCAATACATTGGACATACTATGAAATTTAAATGTAAGTCTTTATTTTGCCCAAAAATGTTGAAAATTCCCAAAGTGGGCCTTAAAAAAACATGTTGGCCATCTTGAAAGGTGTGGCTGCTACATGCTATTTTACAATTTTTGTTATAACTAGAAAAGTTTGGCTGGTGAGTAGCCATTATGAATGCTTAGAAGAATGTTATACTGTCTTATGATTATTTGGCTACTAGACGGCCATTTCCAAAAATAACAGCTAGGCTGTTCGATGGGATATGCTACACCTTGTTGTTGATGTTATTTAGTTCACTTTGGTGCAATATTCAAATTTACATTGCATTTTTTTTAGATGAGGCAGAGATTGTTCAGATGCGTGCAAGTGACGATGACCCGGCTAAGAATGTGTTCTATGTACATTATGAAGGGTGTAAGTTTCTTCTCCTAACTTCAGTCTAAAGTTTTTCAGAAAATTAACTTCAAACCTCACCATATCAATGGCTTCAAAATTTAACATTTCACTTACATTTTCAATGTATTTTGAGTGTAACTGGGTATTTAGCACAAAACATTTTAGATTCTGAACATGATTGTCACTACATTTTTCTCATTGCCACATCCTTTCAGTTAATAGACGTTTAGATGAATGGGTTGAGGCTGACCGTTTCAACCTCTCTCAAAAGATTGAAGACACACAGCAGAAAGGAGAGAGTGGGCAACCATTGTTGACAGACTTTGCTGATGGCACTGACAGAAAGATAACACGTAATCAGAAGCGTAAGCACGATGAGATTAATCATGTACAGAAATCATATGCTGAGATGGACCCCACAACTGCAGCGCTAGAGAAAGAGCATGAAGCTGTAAGTTTACAAAAAATTTGTAGAAGGGTGTCCTCTCTGAGGATGAATCCACATTCACTGAGTAAACAAAACAAAATGCTTATAATGTTCTCAAAGTAAAGATATTATGTTACAAAATCTTAAATGATTATGTAAAATTACAACAGTTCAAGAGATGTTTCAATAGACACCTCATTAAGGGCCATAAAATGAGAATTTATAAGTGTTACTGCTGGTGAAACAAATATTTGGACACTTTTGATTGGTCCCGTGATCATCTCCATTGGCATGACACACCACACAGTAACAGAAAAATAAGCATTTGCATCCAAGATGTGTTATATCAGATGGAGGATAACTGTCAAATCACCTTTTTCTTACTCTTAAAAACTTTTACATTATAGCATTACATTTACATTTAAACATTTTTATGTAGAAGTTTAACATGTTTTTAAATTGTCCTAAATTATTTATCATTGCGTGTTTGATTATGAATGAGTCTAGGTAAAGACTCAGACATAATATTGTCAAAATTATTCAATGAAATATTATGCTGAAATAATATCAAAGCAATATTTATAAAAACAGATTATTTTTAATAGTGAGTCATTTTCCAGCTTACGAAAGTGAAATACATTGACAAGGTCCAGATCGGCAAATATGAAATTGATGCCTGGTATTTCTCACCCTACCCCGAGGAGTATGGAAAAGCCCCTAAGCTGTGGATTTGTGAATATTGTCTAAAATATATGCGCCTGGAAAAGAGCTTCAGATATCATCAGGTATGTTCAAAATCCCATCAATGAATAGCAATTTATTAATGTACAGTGAAACCTGTATATCGGACACCTCTCTTATCCAATCAATGTGAACGCTTTTTCAGACCCATCTTTTAAATTTGCAGGGCTTCCCTAGAAAACTTGAAATGTGAATAGCAGGCAATCTGCATATTTTTGGGCTAGTAATGGTGGTATTTTGAAGAATGGAAGAACATTGAACACGGTGTAAGCATGCCAAATATGAATTTGAAACCATGCTGTTAACATTTGCTTGGGTTACCATTTTTGGCTCACCCTGTATTACATTATATGGCATGTTTTGCAATAGTAGCTTTACTTTACATAGAACTACAGGCATAAAGCAATTTGGCCCATGTATGAATTAATGTCAATAATATCTATTAAGGGCAGGATAGCTAATAATTGTAATCCTTATTCAAAATGATATGTAATTTAAATTTACCCAATCACTTCATTTAAAATTCAAAATTGTGAGAGTAGATTTCTCAATCTTGGGGTAAGTCATTTTACCAATAGGATTGCAGGGCTATTAAGATGACTTTGTTGGCTCATACAATTTGGAATGTTGCTTAGATGTCTTGTATTTTATTCCTTGTTGGTTTCACTTAATTCCACTTCAGTTTCCATTTTATTTGCATTGACATCACAACTTTCATTTTTTTCAGAGTCAGTGTACATGGCGACACCCACCAGGGAAGGAGATCTACAGAAAAGGTTCCCTGTCAGTGTTTGAAGTTGATGGAAAGGACCATAAGGTAATATTTTTGTTATAATAGAGAGATTTTGCAATTCACTTATAGCATGTTTATTATTCCCATATAACGTATAACTTATGAAGCGTTTGATTAAGTCATCATTTATTGTGCGCCATTCTTACATATAGACAACGATTTATAAGAATATCACACTTATGGATGCTGCGCAATAATTGATGACGTAATCAAATGTTTCATAAGTTCTACATTATGAGGGAATGATAAACATGCGAAAAGTGAGTTGCAAAATCTCTCCCTGTTATGTAGAAAAATTACTGTAATAAACTGTAATTAAACATTGTCCTATTATTGACATGCAGAATATCATTGCACAAATTTCATTCTGTTCAACCATTTCAGGTTTTGTATATGGTCAAACATTTCAGATGTATTTCCAAACATTTCAGTTGTTTTGCAAAACATATTAGTCATTTTTAGATACATTTCCAAATATTTTAGATTGTCAGATATTTCAGATGTATTTCTAAATTTCAGATATATTTTCAAACATTTTAAATATATTTCCAGTCATTTAGATATATTGCCAAACATTTCAGATATATTGCCAAACATTTCAGATATACTGCCAAACCCTGTGCCTGTTAGCGAAATTGTTCCTTGACCACAAGACGTTATACTTTGATGTGGAGCCATTTCTTTTTTACATTATGACAGAGGTTGACCGTCACGGATGTCACATGGTGGGCTATTTCTCAAAGGTATGATATCAGGATAATAATCCACCAGCTTGGCTTGGTTTTAATTCCTGGTTCAGACAAAATTTGCATGTGTATTTATAATTCAGGGTGTTTGACTGATTGGTCCACAAATATTTTAAAAGGCTATGTAAGTTTTCTTGTATGTCTTTGTATAATAAAATAAAAGAACATACTCTATGGAGGGGTTCTGGCTCTATCTATCAAAATACAATACAATACCTATTTTTACATACCCCAACCTCATGTATTCTGATGCTCATTAGCTTAATATGGTCACATGACATGAAATAGATATAGCTAACATGGAAGATGAAAAGTTCTTATGACCAGATACATGTATCTGTTTGTAACTGGTTATCTCAGCACCAATAAGTCATATGTATCTGCTATATTACATTGTTCCTCTGAGAGAAATCAATCAATCGGATTTAAACATTTTGTACATTTGCATAATGCTACATATACACATTACTGTATCTGTGTTATTCTGTGAAACTTGTGTTTAGGAGAAGGAGTCTCCAGATGGTAACAACCTGGCCTGTATTCTCACTCTACCACCATTCCAGAGGAAAGGCTATGGGAAATTTCTTATTGCATTTAGTAAGTAGATATACACCCTAGAGACCCCTAGATACAAATCTCATGTTTTTAATTTGTAATACCAATTTTTAAGATGCTATAAAACAGTTTTATGTCAAACATTGGAACTCTTAATTAGCCATCTTAGTAAGATTGTATGTCTTCTCTTAAATACTCTCCAATTTGAGCATTCAAGCTTTTTCGAACTTTCATTATAATTTGTAAGATGTAACAAATTATAAAACTGTCAAATATTGGAAGACTCACTCATATCGTTTCAACTGTGATAATAATTCTTAGGAATTGTTACAAAACAATGTCATCTGTTTTAGGCCATGTTTTTTTCAATTGTGATAACAATTCTTAAGATGTTACAAATACAAAACAATGTCGTCTGTTTTAGGCCATGTTTTTCAATTGTGATAACAATTCTTAAGATGTTACAAATACAAAACAATGTATTCTGTTTTAGGCCATGTTTTTCAATTGTGATAACAATTCTTAAGATGTTACAAATACAAAACAATGTATTCTGTTTTAGGCCATGTTTTTCAATTGTGATAACAATTTTTAAGATGTTACAAATACAAAACAATGTATTCTGTTTTAGGCCATGTTTTTCAATTGTGATAACAATTCTTAAGATGTCACAAATACAAAACAATGTATTCTGTTTTAGGCCATGTTTTTCAATTGTGATAACAATTTTTAAGATGTTACAAATACAAAACAATGTATTCTGTTTTAGGCCATGTTTTTCAATTGTGATAACAATTCTTAAGATGTTACAAATACAAAACAATGTATTCTGTTTTAGGCAATGTTTTTCAATTGTGATAACAATTTTTAAGATGTTACAAATACAAAACAATGTATTCTGTTTTATGTAGGTTATGAATTGTCCAAAATAGAACAAGTTGTTGGGTCTCCAGAAAAGCCTCTATCTGATTTGGGAAAGTTGAGTTACAGAAGCTATTGGTCTTGGGTTCTCCTGGAGATACTTCGTGATTTTAGAGGGAATCTGTCAATTAAAGACCTAAGGTATGTGTAATAAATAGATGATATGAAAGTTGAGTACCTCGCGATTTTAAAGGGAATGTGTCAATTAAAGACCTAAGGTATGTGTAATAAATAGATGATATGAAATGCACTTTCAGTTCATGCACATATTTTTCATTCAGCTCAGTACTGTCAAATTTATGTCATGGGGAAAATTCTCCGTGGATTTATCATGTTAATCAGGGGTTCATGGTAGGATATTATAAACTACCAATGGGATTAATCTGTCATTTAGCATTGATTGAGTGAAGTGATCTGAGATTGAAACCTAATCTCCATAAGGATTGGACAACTGAGAACTGGTTGTTTTTTCCCATGAATTTTACATTCTCAATTATATTTTAATAACCTTTTTCAGTGAGATGACCAGTATAACGCAAACAGACATCATTGGAACACTACAATCTATGAACCTTGTGAAATATTGGAAAGGACAGTATGTTATCTGCATCACACCAAAACTTGTTGAAGAACATTTGAAGAGTGCACAATACAAAAGGCCGTTAATCTCAGTAGATGGGGAGTGTCTAAGATGGGCACCACCCAAAAAAGTCCCGAAAATATTCCTTAAAAAATAAATTGGAATGTCATGCCCTTGTACATGTACCTAGAGCCTTGACATTTTGAATATAGTAATGCACTCATTTTCAGACTCAATATTTAGATTAAGGAACTATTGCCTAACTATCTCACCAAACAAAATTTGCATATACAGTGTAGGCATATGGAGAATCTGCTTTTCATTTGTCCATCAAATCTTTCAATGGTAATTTGAAATCTCTATTTTCATGTATGTAGTAAATCTGCCTTGCTAAGACAAGCACATATGTAAAGACAATAAATGTTATGGCTACATCATTATAAAGACACAAAATAACTGTACATTTGACGAGTGCATCGAATGGGCTCACATCTTAGTAAAAGATGAGTTGAGTTTTGTCTTGTCTTTTGTAGCTACTCAAGGCTGAATGTAAAAAGATATTGTATTTTTATGTAAATACATGTAGATATGGTACATATGCATTGATTTTCCCTGTTACCTTTTTGCACTGGCAAGTAGAAAATAAATTTCCAGATATTATCTTTGAAAAACTTGTAATTTAATGGTACAGGGTGACACAAAAAGTTCCTTAATGTTTACGGAATCTTCATGATTTTTTATGTTTAGATTGTTCAATGGAAGAAAGATCGGTATGCTTGCATAAGTTGCATACCATCAACAACTTAGGAATTAGGAGATATTTCATTTTCCGCAGATACACGCCCTGACACGAAAAAAATGTAAATTAGAATACAGTATCTGTCTTTTCTAAAATTTACCCAATAAGTGAGTTAGTTCATCAAATGACAATGTTATGGCAGTGACAGAAATACCAATTTTAGAAAATTGTATTTTTGAACATTTTATGACAATTTCGTTGTGAGCATACCTGGACGGAAAATGTTATATCTCTAAATCGCAAAGTTGTTGATGCTATCCAAATAAATCAATCTTTTTTCCATTGAACGCTACCTACACGTAAGTCATTCCAAAATTAGCGGGTGGCATTTTTTGTGTCACCCCTGTAGTTAAAAGTTACTTGATAGTTACCCTCACATATAATGAAATTAAGAGCTATATTGATTTGCCTACCACTACAATTTAAAAATAAAAACATCAAAAATTAATGAAACTCCCTTCTGACGAAAGCTTTGTACATCCACAGTTGACAGTTCTGTTGTCATCGAGAACAAACAAGCAACTAGTTGGATTATATACTATATTTTTTCCGAGTCATATTGAATACATTTGTCAATAGTTCAACTACATTGTCAAAGTTTATATTTTCAAGTGCTATTTAACAATAAAATTGGTTGTTTGACGAATCGCAGCAGAGATTGTTTGGAAGATCAAACTGCGCGTCTTCAAATGTGAACCAATCATCTGATCCCCATATACCAAGGATGACGCAATCTTTCATGCGGGAGAAACCATGCACTGGCACACCTGGGCTTGGGATTGGTCCAGTAATGCTACACATATGGTCCCCTGCTGTGTTATTCACCTATGGCAAATACATTCAATGTCAAATAGCTATCACAATGTACAACCTTATTTCATTTATCATGTCACCGCCAAAAGTGATGCCATATTGTTATGGTTTTCAACTTTTTTGAGATGGTGTTTGGTGGTTGGTGTCTGGTGGTCAGCATTTGATACCTGTAACAAATGGCAGGTGGTGGGCATTTTACATGTTAATGCCTTGTATTAAATTGTGTTGGCCTTATTGGAATAAAATTCCTATCTGCCTGATGCAACATATCAAAATATTTCAATTGAAATGTTTAAATGTAACATTTCTCTAATTCCTACTTGGACTCATGTATACATGTAGACTGTAAGATTTAACATATATGTGTAACTTTAGACTCGCATACCAAGCATTTGTGATGTTACACGCAACAATGCGATGTTACACTAAGTAGTAACGTTACAATCATATATGCATTTGCAACATTGTCAATGTTAAACTGAAGCAATGAATGTTACACTTACATCAGGGAGAAAGGTATCAAAAGTGTAAGCGCTTGTTTCATCTATGACGTACTTGCGACACGCTTGATCACAAACTGTGAGATCACCAGAGTTGCATTCTGATCCTACAATGTGCAGATGATTATGAATTATGATAAATGAAAAATGTTTATCTCGTATTGATTGGTCAAGCCAAATGTGTGATTGTTCTCTGCCAATCAGCTTCTAGTATTTTACCTTTAATGGTCCTTTATGGCCATACATATTTAGGTTCCATTTCCAATTAAATCTTATGTTGTATTTACTTTTGCTAGATAAAACAGTCTTTGTATATTGCACATTCTGTATTTTCAATAGATTATACATATGTATTGAGAAACAAAAAATTAGATACATGTAGCTATTATGAGAACTTCATGATCCCCCTCATAATAATTACTTGCTGTATTTTAACTTTCCAATTCCATATCCCTTTATTCAAGGAAATAATGACCATATTTTCACTTTATTTTCCACTTAAAGGGGCAACAAGGCCTGGAGAGAGAAAATTCGAAAAAAATTATTTTTTCTGAGCTATCGGGCAACATTTGACTTAAAATTTTCTTTGACATACCTTTTTTCATAAAATGTATGGGTAAACTATCAATTTCAGCATTAAGAAGTGTAAATTCAGTTCAAAGCTTTTATAAAGAGAGTCCCACTTGCAGATTTTTAAGATTCACCACGTTTCAAGAGGAATATCAGCTGAAATATTGCTCATCCAGGGGGTTTTATTGGAGATAATAAAATATATATTTAAGTCTTGATAAAATATCAAAAACTCAAATATATTTTGACACTGGTCCATGATCGTTGAATGGCACCTCTGCACTACTTGTTGCACCTTTAATACCTAACAGTAAGTCATTTTTGCATTTCTACAACATTAAACTTGATGCCTTGGAGCTTGGCCTGAAAATTACATACCTACTACTACATCCTCCTGGCCAAGAAAATACAACTGTGGTTCAATATGGAGGAGAAACCCATCAGCCTGATAGAGAGCACATTCACACCTAGTAAAGAGTTTCAAGTTTTGGAGCTTAAGAAAAATACAATAAGTAAAAAACAGAAAAGTACATGTAAAAAAGGGATATTAAAAAACAGAACAGAACTAAGAATTTCTTTATAAAACAGAGTTTGGAAGATTTTTTTGGACAAAGCTGTATGTTTCAGTTTTAAATGAAAGATAGGATAAAGATGAAATTTTAAACAATTCAAGATGGAATATGTAAAAAATCTAAGAAGTAAACAATTTACATGTACTCATGTCACCTCTGAAGAATTCAACATATGGACGCAGCATTTAAGATTAAAGAGAACAATAGCATTTAACTCCTAAATACAACTACAGAACTTGGTAGACTGGTGAGTGTTTACATTAAGGCAGAGGGGATATACATTTTTATCTTACAACATAGTCTGGGCATCAGTCCATGTTAAATCCTGCAGGGCAATCAGAAAGACATTAAGGCAGAGGGGATATGCATTTTTATCTTACAACATAGTCTGGGCATCAGGCCATGTTAAATACTGCAGGGCAATCAGAAAGACATTAAGACAGAGGGGATATGTATTTTTATCTTACAACATAGTCTGGGCATCAGTCCATGTTAAATACTGCAGGGCAATCAGAAAGACATTAAGACAGAGGAGATATGTGTTTTATCTTACAACATAGTCTGGGCATCAGTCCATGTTAAATACTGCAGGGCAATCAGAAAGACATTAAGACAGAGGGGATATGTGTTTTATCTTACAACATAGTCTGGGCATCAGTCCATGTTAAATACTGCAGGGCAATCAGAGACATGAAGGCAGAGGGGATATGCATTTTTATCTTACAACATAGTCTGGGCATCAGTCCATGTTAAATACTGCAGGGCAATCAGAAAGACATTAAGACAGAGGGGATATGTGTTTTATCTTACAACATAGTCTGGGCATCAGTCCATGTTAAATACTGCAGGGCAATCAGAGACAAGAGGGGATATGCATTTTTATCTTACAACATAGTCTGGGCATCAGTCCATGTTAAGTACTGCAGGGCAATCAGAAAGACATTAAGACAGAGGAGATATGTGTTTTATCTTACAACATAGTCTGGGCATCAGTCCATGTTAAATACTGCAGGGCAATCAGAGACAAGAGGGGATATGCATTTTTATCTTACAACATAGTCTGGGCATCAGTCCATGTTAAGTACTGCAGGGCAATCAGAAAGACATTAAGACAGAGGAGATATGTGTTTTATCTTACAACATAGTCTGGGCATCAGTCCATGTCAAGTACTGCAAGGCAATCAGAAAGACTATCTTCAACATCTTGATTGTTAGTTTGTTTGAATGTATTACTCCCTAAAAGGTAAAGTTCTATTGTTATATTGACTCAGATATTCTTGCTTCAACGCCCCCCCCCCCCCCCCATCCTCTCCAACACTTCATATCAAAGGGAAGGTGAAGTACACAGCCAATATAATTCGGCACCAATTCAGCATCGAAAGAATTCAGCGCTGTTCCGGCACCGTTTCAGGTAGATAAGGGGAGGGGGATACTGCTCATTGAAGCCTTGCAAATGTCCTAAATTGGGGCATTTTTTCAAACAAATTCGCTTTCTCAAGTCAGGTGTTTTCAGGTATATGAAAACATACCGCTAAACATTTACTTAGAAAATTAAATTCAGTTTGATATTTAGCCTTGTCTAAGTCAGTGTCTTTATTTTTTAATTTTATTATTGAAAATCAAGATAAATTAAAGATAAATAATTTACTTATTAGCATTATTGCTTGAGTTTAAAGAAAAAAAGTATAAAATAAAAATACAAAAGTTCTGAACTTTACAACATGGACCTACCTGTTGGTTCTAGCAAGGTGCGTCAGTAAAGGGAGGCAACGCAAGTATGTGAGAAAAATAACAAATGTTGAGAATTAAAACCCTTGCATTTTGTTTCATCACAAAGCTGTATCTTTCAGGATGTTTTCTTTATAATTCATGGATTTTTTGAGATTCTTGCATTTTATATTTCATTGTGAAATCATGAAGTACTTGAATGTATATCAACTTGGTAAGTTGTCTATTTTCCATACATTTGATAAAGTAAGAAGGACAAATGTAAAACTTCACATAAAGGAAATCAAGTTCATATATTGTTAATGAAAACATTTTTTTGACAATTAAAAAAACACTTTATTGTATTGATATCTTTCAATTTTTATTCATGATGTATTGCATTTTGTATTAATAGTAGCAACAGTGACCTTCAATACGTGTAATAATTAGCAAAATTATCAATTGAATTTGAAGTAATAGGAATTAATACCCGCATAAATATGAACAAATTGACAGGACTGCCTTATCATAAATATATAAGTTATTGAATGATTTGAAGTGAAATACAGGATACATTCTGATCGTGAAATTCCGTATTGAAATGAGACGAAGTCGAGTGCCAATACAGAATATCGAGAGCAGAATATATCCTGTATTGCACTTCAAATCATTCTATAAAGTTTTTATCGTCTGATCCTCTGTATTGCGATTGAGAATATCCCCTCCGTACCAATATTTTCTGTATTGCTACGAGATGATCAATGGGGACAATCTCAAAAGCAATACAGATTAGTACAGCACAAGAACTGACCAATCAGAAGGCTTCATTTTACAGATCATACAGGGTGTCCAAAAAAAAACAGGACCGTAAGAAAGTTGAATAACTCGGTCAATTTTGCATATTCTGCCTTGAAATTTAAGAATTATTTAGTTCATTCAATGTGAATTTTGTTCTGTAAGTTTGATGATAATCTGTTTATTGTGTCGAAAACTACAGTCCTTTACAAAACATGCTCAAAGTGGGCACTTCTCCTCTCTATGCATAAACGAATCCCGCGAACAAAGTTGTTAATTACCCTTACCTGTACACATTAATGTGGATGGTAAATATCGGGGTAGTTATTGCCCTCTTAAGATTGTTAGGGGCCTGTCAGTATACACATTGGCTTTGAGAAATCCTCAAAGTTCAAAATTTGGGGGATTTAGATCAGACGAATGAGCTGCCCATATGGTTTGCGTTCTGCAACTGATGAGCTGACCACCAAAGCATTGCCTAAAACATTTCAGCATATCATTTGCAGTGTTGGGGTGGTATTGGCTTGTTGAAACCACTGCTTAATTATCTCTTAGATGTCCCTTCTTCTTCTCCAAAACTTGGTGAGAACTTACTGGTCCTTGTTCATGATGATAGCAAGTCCCCAGTCACCTTCGAACCAAAAGGGACTGATGATTCCATGTTTCCTCATTGCCACCCAGGGAGTGCATTGTTCAGAATGCAATGGATGCTGTAACACTTCATCAGGAGGATGTAAGCCCCAGTAGCAATTGTTCTTGGAACAAACTTGTCAATTCAGAAAGACATGTGTATAGGAGGATCATCAACAGCTTTGTTCACCGGATTGAATTGTGCATAGAGATGAGATTTGCACATTTGGGGCATGTTTTGTAAGGAGCTGTAGTTTTTGACTCAATTGGTAGATTATTATCAAACCTTCACAACAAAATTCACATTGAATGAACTAAATAATTCTGAAATTTCAAGGCAAAATATGCAAAATTGACCGAGTTATTCAACTTTCTTACGGTCCTGTTTTTTTTGGACACCCTGTATAATAATACATCATATATGAATAAGTGAAATGAATATGTGAAGGACACCTCTGGGTTATTAAGCCTGTACTTTATCTTACTATTTCTCTGTTATCTCAGTACAATAACAGCCAGTGATATTTCTGATATTATGGAGATCTGTGTGATATTTTTTAGAATATCATTTATCAGCTCCATATGCAGCTGATATTGTTGCGCATATCTGTATGATAAATGAACATTTGATTTTAATCATAGGATAAACCCAATATCAGATCATTTGTCTTGATACATATTATTGCCTCATAGATATCAAATATCAATTCTTTAATAACAAGGGAATAACATGCAAAATGTCACTACCTGCTATTCGTTACAAATGCTGAATGCAACCACCGAGCACCAACCACCAAACACCATCCACAAGTGTTGGAGACTATAACAATATGTCACAACTTCTGCTGGTGACATAAAATGATCTCTCAAAATGATCTGATAGTCTGTATGTATCATATGTAATGAAGAATGACATAAAAATATTTTAAAATTGAAAAAATGATGGTTTAATAGATTTATTATCACAATAGCTAGAAATCTATACTAATCATTCTCAACACAAGCGTCACATTCATAATACACTTCCACTGCTCTACTTTATTACAAAGTCTATCAGATTATAGCTTAAAGAATTGAGTTATCTCATATAACAAGGAGACACAAAAATGTAACCTAATACAGATATGCGTAGAATGGAGTCAAAATATAGTTTCATTTCAGTGGAACACTTGGTAGTGGAACATTTGAAAACTCACTGTATTTGCATATTTATTGTGTCACCTTGTACATTATTGTGTCACCTTGTACATTATTGTGTCACTTTGTACATTATTGTGTCAACTTGCACATTTGATTCTTTGTGAGCTCCACTTCTATAACCATGGATTAGGGTGTTTCATTTTTCAAGAATGTTCTCAGATCATAACGGCTCTTTAACATGGGGTTACAAATGGTGCTGGTAGTTCACTGATTTTTTTTCTACAAAATCGGATAACTTTAAGACTGGTCCGTTGGCCATTCTTTCCGTCCCATTGGATTACAGTGTGAGCGACGCCCACTTTTCAATCGAAAATATTATTTCACTCTTCTTTGCTTATAATTTGCCAGAAATCATTGGAAAATGTTTTCCTGTTATAAGCATTTGGATATACATCAAAACACTTCCAACGAATGCAAACTAGATTGTTCTAGTACTTTTTGTCACTGAGATATTGTCACTTCTATCCTGTATTTTGGCCATTTTTATTCTTAAAACATGTTTTATTAGATTTGCAAGGAGATATTTTGTTATTTTGTGATAAAAATTTTCTAAAATATTCAAATTGTCGACAGAAAAGAAAAACATTCATGAATTTAACTGCCCAATGCATGCATTTTTCTAACCATTTTCTGATAAATGAGCAGCAAAGAAGTGCGAAACATTGTTTTCCATTGAAAAATGGGCGTCGCCATTGTAATTCAATGGGATGGAAAGAATGGCCGACAGACCAGTTTTAACGTTATTCGATTTTGTTGAAAAAAATCAGTGAACTACGTACCAGCACCATTTGTAACACCGTGTTAAAGGGCCGTTGTAATCCGAGAACATTCTTGAATAATGAAACACCTTACCATGGATATCCTGCTGAAAAAAAGTCCTGCCTCTGTTTTTTCTTTCAATCTAACCTCTGAGTTTTTATAATGAACTAGAACAGGGTAAGTTTATACCTAACAATACATGGTATTCACATAGCTAAATTTATTTAATATAAATAAATATTATAACATATACACCTGCACCTAGTGTATTCTATTAAAATTAAATATTAAAATCTACATATTCTAATTCATGTATATCATGCATGTTATTGACTCAGCCATATTGAACAATTACAATGTGTCTATAGTATTCTTAAAATTACTGTATCTGAATTCATATTGAATTGTGGTGTATATATTAAAAACCATAATCAAGTTTGATTCCTGTCTATCTGTAATGTTGTACCATTTATTATTTATTGTTTTGAAAATTCCATCATCCTTTTTGTTATTCTTATGAATATTAAAATATAATAAAATACAATGAACAAATTGCCACAAAACTACCCTGTTTCTACGAAATTTGAATGTACAACTACAATACTTTTACAATTGAATCTTGATATATAAATGTTTTGTGCTTGAGACCTTGCGCTACCTACAATGTATGTTTAGTAAGATTTTAAAAAATTTGAACTTCTACAACTTTATTTGTCTTTCTTGACAACTTTGAATCTAAAAAGTAAGCAATCAAAGGACCACATTGCAACAGTTTTTGTATATTTCGGACAGCTAGCTGTGGCCTTTTGTAATTTAGATAAGCTTGGACCCAGTGTAGCATGTCACTTGACTTTTGGTGGTTTTGAAGTCTGATGTCTGCACATCCCAGTTCAAAATCAACTTCTGTAGTAATTTGACACCACCTTCTAACTTGCTTTACTGACCTTTTATCATTTCTCAAAACATATTCTCTTAAAATCAGGAAATAGGGTGATGAGCGGGGAAATTTTGTAGGAAATTTCAGTCACAAAAAATAATGAGTGACAACTTACACTTCTTCTGAGTGAAGTTTCAGCCATGTTTATTTTGGAAGAATAACATGGCAACATTTTTACATTCCAAGTTGTCAAGGAAACTGTGAGGAAGACTGCAACAGTATATTGTTCAGAATCACATAATTAGATAAATAGACTAAATTCTTGTCATGGACAATGCTGATATTCCGCATATTGCATTGTGGGTAATTACCCTTTGTGATATCAGTTGGGCACTTGGGAGTCATAAATGATTATACAAACGGGTGACTAATAACATTCTCCTCTCGCATGTACACCCAAGATCAATCATTCTGTTCTCATTACCTAATGGAACTTCAGTTATGGCATATACGCTACAAGTATTCTCACTGTAAACACTTGTGGTAAAATCAAATAAAGAATCTCTGTTTCTAAACAGTGAACAGTAAGAATCACAGACCTGGCAGTAAAAATTAAAATTACATGTTGGTTCCAATTTTAATTTCCAACTGATTAAACTGTCATTACTAGGGATGTCACGGGACAAAAAATTTGGGACAGGGCAGAATGGGAATGATCCATGTTTGGATGTAAGTCTTCTTGGATTATTTTTATTATGTATTTTTGAACTTCTAAGGCAATATATATGATGTCTAGTTTGTCTCGAACATGGATCAAAATTTTGGTACACAGGGGTTGTCATATCCAATTCTGTCCCAATGAAACACGGATCAAAACCCTGGTACACAGGGGTTGTTCCATACAATTCTGTCCCAAAGGAAAGTCCAGAAGAACATGACAATATCGGGGAACTGTGACATCCCTAGTCAGAACCTATAGTCTAAGATGAGACAAAAATATCTCAATATGTGTTTCCACACAGCACAGTACATATATGAAAATAGAAATCAACTTTAAAACTAAAATTGTGTTGCTATATAAACACACATTATAACCTATAGCTGTCAACAAATTGAAATTAAAATACAAAACCCTAAACAGAAAGTCAAATCCTGATACATCAAGCAAAGAAAAGAAAAAAATATGTTTGAATAAATAATTTTTGTTTATACATGATGATGTATAGATTTATCCTATGCCAAGTAGAGTTTTAGGGAGAAAAGTTGGTAAGATATATCCCATATCCTGATTTTGAGGTTTCCATATCCAGCACCTCCATATCTCCCGCTTCGGTGCATATCTTCCCGCTTCCGGTAAGTAGTGGAAATGCAATAAAATGACTTTGCATATGAATTGCATATGATTGGTTTATTTTTACACCTTGTACTATTGAAATGGCCATATGCCCCTGAAAACCCTACTTGGTATAGGATAAAGCAGTTATATACGGTCGGTTTGGATATTGGGTTCATCCCTCGTGAGATATGTACATCTACCTTCCATCCCTACGGTCCCTCAGGTAGATATGCATATCTCCCTCTGGATAAACCCCATATCCAAAACCTCCCAGTACATAACCTTTATATATCGGAACTAAATATGAATAATTAATATGATTAATGATTAATGACAAGTGATAGCATTAAATATTTTTTCTCTAAACATTTGAAATGATATGATATGCTATAATTCTTGTCCATTGTTTGATATATTATGGTTCAAGAAGCAAGTTTAGAAGTCCTTTACTATTGCAAGACATTCATATTGCAATTCCAGTTGTCATTTTCAGGGTAATTATGTTGCATTCTGGGTATTTATGTTGCATTCTGGGTATTTATGTTGTATTCTGGGTCTCAATGTATTTCACCTCCTTTGCTTCTTTTTTTCTGTTCCTTGCCTCGTAGTTCAATCTGAAATTGAATTGTGTTTATTATGCATACATTAAAAAGTAATGTCAATCATCTACTGTTGGCTCCTCCCTTTTGACCTCTAACTCCTCCCCTTATGTAGTTAACACATCCCTTTGAAAGATCTACATCATCTCTATGAACCTATGTGCTGTCAATCATCTCAGAATGTTCTTTTGATTCTTTCCCATTTGACTTTTCCACCCCAACCCCTAAACTTTTTATGGCATCATGAGCTGAATAGTTCTGCCAATCATCTAGAACTAGCCACACCCATTTGCATTACAGACTACCTTGCTATGAAACTCCTCATCTAAAAGTGCTGTCAATCAACTAGATCTTACCTGTTACTTATAATCCTCTGTACAATCATCTGTGTTGTCAAGGTATTGGTGCTGTCAATCATCTTGAACTTGCCACGCCTCTTTGGCTCCTAGAGAATGTAACAATAAATACATTCAGATTTTTAGATTAGATTTTGGTCTTTAACAATGATCAGGGACCATGAATCTTTACAATCCTTGGTTTTTTGGGGGGTTCCAAAAGATTTATCAAAAGCAAAATCTTTCATTGACCATCTTAATGATGAGTACATATATCTTAAATATTCAAGTTTGACTTGATTTCATTATGGCAATATTAGTCTATATGTAAGATGATGAATTTCAGATAACACCTATAAAACAGCAAGAATGAAATACTGTGAAACTTTCTGAAATGATTTTTAATAATAGGCATTATCAGGTCATTAAGAGACTTAAAGAGCTTACCTCATAAGGATCTGAGCCATCCTCATCTGGGGTTATTGGGGTTTGACCATGGATAACTAGGTCTACCTACAATGAATAGAACATATTTGCATAGAGTAGATATGTTTAGTGAGTTTTGAGTAGATATGTTTAGTGAGTTTTGAGTAGATATGTTTAGTGAGTTTTGAGTGAGTTTTGAGTAGATATGTTTAGTGAGTATAGAGTAGATGTTTAGTGAATATAGAGTAGATATGTTTAGTGCGTTTTGAGTAGATATATTTAGTGAGTTTTGAGTAGATATGTTTAGTGAGTATAGAGTAGATGTTTAGTGAGTATAGAGTAGATATGTTTAGTGAGTTTTGAGTAGATATATTTAGTGAGTTTTGAGTAGATATGTTTAGTGAGTATAGAGTAGATGTTTAGTGAGTATAGAGTAGATATGTTTAGTGAGTTTTGAGTAGATATGTTTATTGAGTTTTGAGTAGAAATGTTCAGTGAGTTTTGAGTAGATATATTTAGTGAGTATAGAGTAGATATGTTTAGTGAGTATAGAGTAGATATGTTTAGTGAGTATAGGGTAGATATGTTTAGTGAGTATAGAGTAGATATGTTTAGTGAGTATAGAGTAGATATGTTTAGTGAGTATAGGGTAGATATGTTTAGTGAGTATAGAGTAGATATGTTTAGTGAGTATAGTGTAGATATGTTTAGTGAGTATAGGGTAGATATGTTTAGTGAGTATAGAGTAGATATGTTTAGTGAGTATAGAGTAGATGTTTAGTGAGTTTTGAGTAGATAGTGAGTGTAAATGTATGAGGCCAGAGGCAGACGTCAGGAGCTTAAAATCTTGAAAAACAGATTTTTACATATTACCTATCGATTCCACATTTTTTACACAAAAAATGCCAATTCTCTATTTTCTTCAAATTTTCCTAATCCTTGATACCTGCATTTCAAAAAAATTCTGATCCTTCATGATATCGTATTTAAAAACAGGAATTTCTCTTTTCAGCTCACCTTAAAATGGTCCATTAGTTCAGGGGTTACACTATAGGGGGCACCAATCACAACCTCCGATACATACTGAAAAACAAAGAACAGTTTTTTAAACAACTTAAAACAAAATGAAGGATATGATTTTAATACCAATAATATGCCGGTATTCAAGAACAGTCCACCCGTGTAGCTCAATGGTAGCGCAGGTACCTCTTACGCACTAGGTCCCGGATTCAATCTTCGGTTCAGGCAAGACTTAATTTGCTTGTTTGCGTGAAGTACTTCAGGGTGTTTGACTGAGTGGTCCGCAACTCGTACAAAAGGCTGTGGTGTGTACTTGTATGTCTATGTATAAGTGCACATAAAAGAACACAGGGCTCCTTCAAGGAGGGGTTTCTGGGTCTATCTTCCAGGTTAATTACGTAAATTACGACCGTATATATACAGGATATACCCAAGAGGTATTGCTCACCTTCATCGGTGGTAAACAAAATACAATACAAACAATATACAGAATTGAATGAAGGCAAAATATGAATAGAGATCAAGGGCTGAATTTAGAATATCAATATCTTCACTCAATTGCTGCGCTCACTCATGAAGATATCAATATCCACTTATGGATATGAATGATATTTTTTCAAAACCATAGGATATTGCTGTAATCCTATTTATTCTTGGGTATGATTCATAAAACATTCACAAGTTTCTATGCCCCCTCAGTCAATATTGTATTACCCTCAATATCACATTTTACCTAGGAATAAACCCCATATTAAATCCTTCCCAGTAAATAATCCATATTTATACTCACCCTATTAGACAATACAGATAGTACTCTTTCATGTAGATTCATGATTGGGTAATTTGCACCTTTGTATCTGTTGACTACCTGGAAATAACAAAATGTGTTACAATTGAGCTTAGCAGTCAGAGTTAGATATACGTTTATTCCATAATACTACTGTTTTCCCAGGGAAATATGAAGGAATAAAATCGTATTGAATCATATTACATGAAAAAATCGTATTGTCCCCGGAAAAAAAATCGTATTGGAGCGTATTACATGGAAAAATCGTATTGTCCCCGGGACAAAAATCGTATTGGAACGTATTAACCTATTTTTGGTTTTCCCGGTTATTTTTAACCTTGACTATAATAGATAAAAGCATTATCCAAATGTAACATTTTAAGGAGGAATGTATTATGGAATAAATAGGTTATTTCTGGTCAGGATTGAATATGGCTTTTATTCCTCGGAAAATATGATATTGACCTTGGGAAATATGATATTGACACACGGTCACTGCGCTCCCTCGGTCAATATCATATTACCCTTCTGTCAATATCAAATTGTCCCTCGGAATAAAACCCATATTCAATCCCTCCCAGTAAATAACCTATATGTACTCCTAAATGTCCCCTAGGATAAAATCCATATCCAGAACTCCCATTGCATAACTTACTCTATAGCCTGTATTGCACACTATAACTCATTTGACATTTTTTTGTATACAATTTAGAGCCTCAATTATACTGTGTCTTGCAGATACCACTCCTTTCCATTAAATGTACAGTATTGCAGTAAAACCTGTGTACAGTGAGCACCTATGGAGCCACAAAAATGTGTTCACTGTAGGTAGGTATTCACTACAGTAAGGCATTTTAGACAGAAGCCAGTGGAGTATGTGTTGGGAAGGGGTGTTCACTAGACACATGTGTTAACTAGAGAAAGGTGTTCACTAGAGAAAGGTGTTTACTAAAGAAAGGTGTTCGCTAGAGAAAGGTGTTCACTAGAGAAAGGTGTTCACTAGAGAAAGGTGTTCACTAGAGAAAGGTGTTCACTAGAGAAAGGTGTTCACTAGACACATGTGTTCACTAGACACATGTGTTCACTAGAGAAAGGTGTTCACTAAGACTCATCTAAGATTATTGTGAAACATACCGGGTCTGTGTGGATCCCTACTATGAGGTAATCTCCATGTTTAGCAGATTCCTCAATAAAATCTAAATGTCCGACATCTTTTAAGTGTTAAAGAAAAATGACAAATTAATTTTATTACACATTCTGATTCTCATTGTACTTTTCATGCATCATAGTTGGGTAAATATATTAGATGATAAGGTCAAGCAGGATTTGCTCCGAGCATTCTTTTGCTCGTCGAAAGTTCACCAAGTCATGGGAGCATGCACTTCTCTTCTTCTCCAATCAGGCATAGGCTGCAGTTTTATGTATTTTTATGAAAAGGATACGGAAGAGATCAAACGCCCCAGCTACATATACAATTTTGTCACCAGGCTTTGCATCGGGTCTGTTTTCCGAAAACTGTACAATTTTTTTGGAAGTCGGAAGAAATTGTGACACACCCGTGTATGGACTCTTTGGACTCTGAAAAACATGAACATAAATCAAAAGGGTGTTCACTATCACAAGTTTAACATGAATAATAATACAATAAACAGTATATATAAAAATTATTGAGTTAAAAATTTCTTTTGATCAAAATGAAATAGTGTTAAACAGGTGATAATAAACATTATGAAAAATATAAAAATAAGTATCTAAAATGTCACATGTACATTGAAAGTGTTTCTAATGTGTGAAATTCTTAAAATTATTTTTGAACATATTGACATACCGCTAGTCCTATAGTTCCCACATCTTTAGCAACTTCTTGGTCATCATACTGAAAGTGGGTTTTGGTGACTAGTAGCATCCTACCTACTAAATCTGTGGTTGAAACACCTTGTGTCCTTGGGAACATTCTGGAATAAAAATCATCAAACATTCCAAAATATTTACCAATGCTGAGAAAATCATGAATGTGTAATATGTAGATTATAGAAAAAGACACTTTAATGATAAAAATAATTTAGTGATTCAATTCATTGAAGGGAATAGTGAAATAAATAATAAAAGCAAGTTAATCTACATAAATTTCCCAAATTTTTTCCACTTCACTTTGATTCTTTTGAGTCATGGATACAAAGACTTTATATTAGTTTATGATAATCAACGCTTTAGAAAAAAAAAATGAAATCACTTACTGGAATTTTCCCGCATCTTTTACAATATGATACGTATCTTTTCCATCTGCGGAGAGAGTTACATCATCTGCAATCAGAAATAAAGAGACATTCTCAAACAAAAACTCACTAAAGAGCATATCTTCTTCACTAATTAAAGAGTCCAGTTTTTACAATATTGTAACGGAATTTTGAAATGTAAAATTTTTGATTTTTGATAAAGTGCTGTATTTTTGTACATTAGGTAATTATTACACTTGGAAAGTAATTTCCCATTGAGATTATTAAGATTTATAAATGTAGTATCATTTGCAGCACTTAGGTTGTACTTACAGAGGTGAAATAGTTCACATGTTTTATTTATTTGATCACGATTTTGTTTATGTTGATCGGGCAGTCTTATCTGGCAGTCTAATTTGTAGTTGATCGGTAGTCTTACCTGACACCTTTATTATTTTACTTCCTGCTTTTGATTCGATTGAATCGAAGTGAAATTAGACTAGATAGTGATTAATTACTGTTATATTTCTTGAGTCAATATTATAATCTTGCTGTATGTTCAATATTGAAGCGAAATATGGCGTAAATAAGCTGTAATTCACAGTTGAAATCTTGTACGAAAATCGATGACGTCATCGGGCCTATATAAGTATCTCGCTGTTGAAGGATCGTCAGTGCGATGCCAGATGTTGTCGAGGAGGGACCTCCAGAGCGGAATTTCGGGAAACAGCTAAAATTTTCTAAGTTTTATAGAACTTAGTTGATTTTGTGGTCTTGAAGCTATACGTTTGCAGTATACACATGAAGATAGAAGCTGTGCCTTAGTAGAATACATCTGATGAGCCAAGCTATACGTTTGCAGTATACAAGGGCAGATTGAGGAAACTAAGTGTGCGAAACTTAGTTTATTTTGGAACTTGGATTTTTGGGAAACTTTGATGTAGCTAAGTGAGAGGAACTTAGTTTATTTACCGCACTGGAAATAAGGGAGATCTACAAGACTGGACAAAACTTCGACAGGGTGAAGCTATCCCCAGCGCAAAGCATTAGACGTATTGTCCAGCCTTCATAGACTGAGAGGAAATGCTGACATAACTTGTGTTTGAGAAACAAGCTATTTTGATCATCAAGGAACTTAGACGATTTACAACATTATTGGACTTAGTCAGTATTTGGTGAAACATTATTTTGGACTTTGTTGTTTTTGGATAAAGAAATATTTAACTTAGAATATTTCAACATCAGTATAACTTAGCATGAAGTTAACTTAGTCAATATTTGGTGAAACATTATTTTGGACTTTGTTGTTTTTGGAAAGAGAAATATTGAACTTAGAATATTTTAATATCAGTATCACTTAACATTAAATGAACTTAGTCATTTTAGAGGTCAAATATTTTCACATGTTATATTTTTGCATATGTCGTTGTGTGCATGCTATATTTGTAGGTAGCCTTATTATTTAATTGTGAAGAAAGCAGGCTACATGGACTTAGCAGTTGATGCCGTGTTTTAGACGTCCTTGGACTTGGTAGATTGAAGATTGTGATAGTTTGACTTATACATCTACAGAGAAGAGGTTCTGGGACTTAGCAGTTTATTCAACGAGATATTTTGACTTTGATGACTTTGGGTCATTGAAGTTAGAATATACATCTACAGAGAAGAGGTTCCAGGACTTAGCAGTTTATTCAACAAGATATTTTGACTTTGATGATTTTTGGTCATTGAAGTTAGAATATACATCTACAGATAGGCGTTATAGGACTTAGCAGATTATCCAGCGAGATATTTTGACTTTGATGATCTTGTGTCATTGAAGTTAGAATATACATCTACATTGAGGAGGATCCTGGTGATAGCCGTTCACAGAGCTGATAGTTTGACTTGGATTATTTCACATAATCAAAGTTGAACTATACTACAACACAGAGAGAAGGATCCAGGAGATAACCATTTACAGAGTTGATAGTTTGACTTAGATTATTTCACATAATCAAAGTTGAATTATACTACAACACATTGAGGAGGATCCAGGACTTAGGAGTTTACACAACTGATAGTTTGACTTAGATTATTTCACATAATCAAAGTTGAATTATACTACAACACATTGAGGAGGATCCAGGACTTAGGAGTTTACACAACTGATAGTTTGACTTAGATTATTTCACATAATCAAAGTTGAATTATACTACAACACAGTGAAGAGGATCCAGGAGATAGCCATTTACCAAGCTGATAGTTGACTTAGATGATTTCACATCATCAAACTTGAATCATACTACACTACATAGAAGAGGATCCAGGAGATTACTATTTCAGGTTCAAGTTACAAGTACAATACAAGACGTACAAGTATTACAACATATATGAACTTTTAATATTGGAGATACAACAGTGGTATATAGTGATCATCTACTTTAGTTTATATGGACTCTGGATATTGTTTCATTAGTGATAAATATTAGCTTATAGGGACTTTTGAGTTGTGAGTTTTGAGAGAGATATTAAAATCGTAACATTCTTACATTCAGACTTGAAATTTAATGTACATCTTTATTTGGGCTTATAAACGCCACAATATACTGTTTTATATTTATATTTAATTGTATATGTCTGTTTAATTCTTTAGGGACAATCGCACATTTAACGTGTGCCGTGTAACTCACCAAGTAAACACCGTTTACTAAACAGTGGGCCTATTATAAGCCACGCTACCACGTATATCCACAAAAATAGGCCAAACTGTTACATTGGTGGCAGTGGTGGGATTGACTGTTTCTGAGGAATTGAACCAGAGGCACATTATAGCACTTTAAAGATGGATGCAGAGGATCCAAAGTCGATAGAGAGTGGTGATCTCTCGGATACAAATACAGACAAGTCTAAAGATGTAGAGAAGACTGTCTTTGTAAAGTTAGCTACCGATGGTGAGATAGATAATCCCATAGCCAAGGATGACACTCTTCAATATACAGGAAGAAAGGCTACGGAACACATGGCTACAGTACTCCCAGCGATGGAGAAATGGAGGTTGCCAAGTGAGGCAGATCTAGATGAGAGACACCCTACAGTTGGGGGTGCAGAAGCAATCTACCCTAGTGATAAGACTGGGATAGAAACTGAGTTTAAGAAAGCCTGGAGTGGACAGACTACTGGCTATTGGTCAGGCGCAATACATAATGGTGTTTATAGTCCACAGAGTCAAGCATGGGGAGCCAGACCCAAAGGAGATAGATATATGCCTCGCACCTCAACCATGATAACTACACCTGCAGAACTTAGAGTGGACATGCAGGAAAAACCAGCTGACAGAGAAATAAAAACTCATATCCATGTTATGGAAGATACCATAAACCAAAATGTGACTACCATAAACATGATGGAGGGACACATGTCTCATATTGAAGGACAGGTGGCTAACATGGAAGGACACATGTCTAACATGGGAAGCCAGGTCAATAACATTGGTGGAGAAGTCACACAGATCAAAGATCATATTGGAACTTTGTCACAAACTTTGAAGGCGGAATTTAAGGAAGAGATGAATAACTTATGCCAGACCTTACATATGGCATTACAAAGTTCAACTTCTCGTCCTGAACCAGTTTTACAGGGTGACGTCAGACCTTCAAGTCCTGTAGTGAAATTAGGAACAAGTGTAGACACCAGAACAATGTTACAGGCTAAGTCCAGTGCGACTTCTCAGAGATTACAGTCTCGAGAAGTTCTTTCTACATTTAATCCGCAGCAAGGAGTGGTAGGGGGGCCCACATTAGTTAATCCAGAATTAACTGCTGATCAACCCAGAATAGTAACTCCCCCAAAGTGGCCACTCATACGCCAGAAGAGAATTGCTTCTGATGAAGATTTTACAGGATTGCCAAAGAGACCTGCATTTAAGAGTCCTCCGACAAAAAGGAGAGTTGCAGCTGTAAAGTCAGAAGATGACTATGGATTCGGAGAGACAAAGTTTGTGGGAACACCGAGTAAAAGAATGTTTGTGCCTCAACAGACTCAAAGTCAGCCTTCCAAGGATAGATACCGATCTACATATGATGAATTACCGAATGAGGCTGAAACCAGATATGAAGAAGCTCTGCAGACTAATGCAAATATGACACATTTTACTCCTCAAGAAGAGGAAACGGCCGTACCAATGAATGATACAATGCCTTCAGTGATAGCTCAGTTTGCAAAGATGCATGAAGAGACGACTAAATTAGTTGGGAAGGTATTGGAAGAGACAATACCTAAGAGAGCTGCCTCTCAGAGCAAGACAAAGATAAAACCTGACACATACAATGGAACTACACCATGGATTGACTACAAAGCCTATTTTGCCATGTGTGTAAGTGCAAATTCATGGAGCGATGAAGAGAAGAAACAGTTTCTTGCAACTAGCCTTAGGGGTCAAGCGCAACAACTCATCTATGAGATGGACCCTGGCTATACGTATGATGAATTGGTGTCTGCCTTAGATAAAAGGTTTGGCCCAGGAGGTAAAGCAGATGTGTACCAAGCAGAGTGGGTGGGCCGAACACGTAAACCCAAGGAAACACTACAGACTCTTGGTCAAGATGTCAGACGGCTGACATCATTAGCATATCCTGAGTTACCTCGGGCTGCTCAAGATCGTTTGGCTAGGGAACGTTTTGCGCAGGCTATCCCTGATGATGAGATTAGGCGATCCATTCATAATCATAGCGGAGATTGCAGCACTTTAGACAAGGCCATTGAAATTGCCATACGAGAGGAGTCTTATCTTGAGTCTGAAAGGATGCGCAAAGGTTTAAAACCAAGACATAGAGATGAAAGAGTAAATGCTGTAGAAGAGAAACAGGCTCAAAATGAAATGATGCAATTGGTAAAGGCGTTTCAGGAGATGCATAGGGACTCTACAGTAATGCAAAATAAATTGATGCAGGAGAATCTTATGAAGGTGGTGCAAGAGATGCACAAAGAATCTACAGCTAATCTTAAGACAATAATACAAGAGTTGAAGGACAAAGAAAAATCCAATGAGTCTGGAGAGAAAAGGCCTGTGTCCAGAGGTGTCAAATGTTATTATTGCGACAAGTTAGG